GCCACCGTGAGCCCTCAGCTTCACCCGCTGCTTCTCTTCGCTGCTCTGAGGGGCCAACTCTTCCTCCTCATTCTCTCCTGGCTGCTCATGTCCCCCCGAGCTTCCATTTCTCACCCGTGTGCAACCATCCCCAAAGCTGGGCATCTACAGAGACCACAGGCTAACAGGTGGAATGTCCCCTCCAAAACTCGTGCTGAAATGTAACTGCCATTGTGATGAGATTCTGAGATGGTGCTTGTTTAAAAAAAATTATTTTCATTTTATTTGAAAGAGTGAGTTCTCTCATCCACTGGTTCACTCCCCAAAGAGCCGTAACACAGGCGGGGCTGGGCCAGACCGGAGCTCCATCTGGGTCTCCCACAGGGGCGGCAGGGACCCAGGTACTCAAGCCACTCCTTGCTGCCTCCCAGCTGCACATCAGCAGGAAGCTGGAATCTGAAGCAGAGCTGGTGCGGGAAGCCATCTTTCCGAGCTGAGTAGTGGTCTAAGTGCTCTATCGACACCAGCCCCAACAAGTGGAAACAACGAATTAGGTCAGGGTATCATGGGAGCGGCTTACTGTATCCCAGGACTGGCTGTCTGAATGTCTACCTGCACATACTTGCTCATCCTTTTCCATCTGCTGTGTTTTGATGCTCGTAGCCCCTTGCCGGATGCTGGTGCCATGCTTGTGGACTTCCCAAGCTCCCAATCCATAAGCCAAATAAACTTCTGCTTATCATGTACTCAGGCTATTATAGCAGCAAAAACAGACTAGGACCTGCTCTTCCCAGCTGCAGACTTGTGTAGGTATCCGTGGGCTACTTTGCAGGCAACTCATACCTCAAGACCCAAAAGACCACCAACCACTGAGTCATTCGACCTAGAAACCAAGATGTCAACCTTCACTCCTGTCTCCCTGTTTCACCACCCCATGTGACCGATCACCTTGACCCGGCCCTTCCACTTCCGGAATCTCAGCTCTGTCTACCCTTCTCCCCAGCTGCTGTTCTCCTCTGGCGGGGGACCATCACCCCTCCCGGCTTCGGCAGTCTTCCCACCATTGCTCCTCCTGCTTGTACTCTCTCCCTGCAGTCCACTCTGCACAGAGCAGCAGAAACTCGTTAACAAGTCTGATTACCTAAGACTTCCTGGGGTGGGTGTTTGGCCTAGTGGTTAACATGCTGGGTGGGATGCCCACGTCCCATGCCTGGGTTCAATTCCTGGCTCTGTTCCTGATCCCAAATTCCTGCTAATTCAGATCCTGGGAGGCAGCAGTACCTAGCCTGAGTTGCTAGCTCTTGGCTCTGGCCCTGGCCCAGTCTCAGCCACTGTGGGTATTTGGGGAGTGACTGAACCAACAGATGGAAACTTTGTGTCTGTGTGTCCACCTGTCTCTCAAATAAAAATAAATACATAAAAATAAACTTTACTATCTCTAACCTTGGCCCAGCAAGGCCTGTCCCTGCATCTTTCTCTTCTTCATTCACCCCACTCTGGCTAATAACTCACAATAATCCAGCCAAGTGAGCTCCCTCCAGCTCTTGAATCGGCTCTACCACAGGAACCTTGTTACCCCAAGCAGAAGACACTTTACTTGTTTGCTCATTATCGTCTCCCAGAGCCTAAAACCACCTGGCATACATTGGAAACCCAAGAAGCATTTGTTGAACGAGTGACCACATATGGGCCTGCCGGCCTCTTTGCCCCTCCTCCAGCCACACCAGCCCTGTGTCTGTCAAACATAACAGGCTCTCTCGCAGTGCCTGTCCTGCTCTCTCTGTCTAGAATGTTCCTTGTCCCTCTGCCTAGTTAAGTCAGGGCTCTGCATACGAGCCCACTTCCCCCTGGGGTGGGCCTTCCCTCAACCCTGTGCGAAGTCTGGACGCCTTCACACTCAGCTTGTTTCTCCCACGTGTCAGGCTTTTTCTACGCTGAAGGCTCCACTGGGACAAGGCCTGTGTGTCTCTCTTGCTTGTTGCTGTAACCTCAGGGCCTCACCCAGGGCCAGGCCCAGCTCAGGCCTTACTGTTTATTAACTGGTGCTAACTGTGGAGCCTGGGCATGTGCCCAAAGAGGTCACTGCCGTGGAGCAGCCCAGGCCAAGTGCAGAACGAACAGTACAGTGCAGTGCTATAGAGTGTGGTATGAGGATGGATCTGGGAGGGGGCAGGAGGAATGGCATAGGTAAATGGGGAGGGGCCGGGAGGGTTTCCTAAGCAAATTCCTTAAGGGCAGGCTGTCCTGAGCCTGATTCCCTAGGACAGAAAGGAATCCGCATCCCTGGAGCAGCGAATCCCGAGCGGGCAGGCCAGGGCCAGGCTGAAGGAGCACCTGAAGTCCTGGCTCGCTTCCTGGTTTCATTTGGGGCTCTCCACCAGCGGGTCCCCCAGAAGCCCTGGTAGCTCCCAAACCGAGCACGTGACCCTTCTACCTCCGGCCCTGTCCTCCTTTACCTCACCCAGCTGCATCAGAAACAAGGACCCAGCGCTTCTGGAACGCCACACTCAGAACCACCTGCTAAAAACCCAAGTCCGCTCAAAGGATCCCCTTCACCATTCCCCACCTGGCCCGCATGTTCCGGCCAGTGCCCAGCCCCGGCTACACGTCTTTTTTTTTTTTTTTTTTTTTTTTTTAAGATTTTTTATTTATTTATTTGAGAGGTAGAGTTACAGACAGTGAGAGGGAGAGACAGAGAAAGGTCTTCCACCTGCTGGTTCACTCCCCAAATGGCCACAGTGGCTGGAGCTGTGCCAATTCAAAGCCAGGAGCTTCTTCTGGGTCTCCCATGTGGGTGCAGGGGCTCAAGGGCTTGGGCCATCTTCTACTGCTTCCCCAGGCCAGAGCAGAGAGCTGGATTGGAAAAGGAGCAGCCAGGACAAGAACTGGTGCCCATATGGGATGCTGGTGTCACAGGCAGATTAACCTACTGTGCCACTCCACGGCACAGGCCCCCCAGCTACACTTCTGAAGCTTCCTCCAGGGGAGGTCTAACACCTTCTTGGCCTGCCTTGACCTGGCTCCCCTCGCCTTGCCAGACCCATTCTCACGCATCATTTGATGCCTCCTCCTGTCCACCTCTGTTCTGTGGGCATACAGGTCTTCAAAAAGGTCATGGAAAATGCGTATATGAAAAAGCTACGCGTGGATTTCAAGTATTTTGCACCAAAACAAACTTAAATCTTTTGAATGCATGTTTCCTGAGCTTTCTGAAGTCTCCTCGCACTGCCTTGGTTTTGACAATATCGTTTAATTACTCCCCTCCTGGTCTTTCTACCCTTCGGGAGACAACTGCTCATTTCACCTCCGTATCCCAGCACCTGCAGCACCCTACAAGCAACAGCTAAAATCGGACCCGCACCGACACAGAATGAAGAACTCCACACAGATTGCCTCGTTAATTCCCACAATCACTAAAGACATGCTCCCGAAGGGTGAGGTTTCAGCGTCTCCCCTAATCTCATCCCTTGGGGGCAGAGGGCTGCCACACCACCATGCCAGGAGGCGCGCACTGCGGCTGCGGAAAGGGGGCTCGGAGTGTGCGCCCAGGGACACCCCCAAGGGAGCGGCACTGGGTCCCGGATAGAGTCCGGCCAGTGCCAGGCAAGCTGTCCGAGAGGTAGGGGGTCCAGCGTGGGTTCCGGAAGCAGGAAAGGCGAGCAGGTGTGGGATCTAAATTAGGATGAGGGTGGGGAGAGCGCTCCGCTCAGCAGGGCGCAGCTCGGCTTCCGCCCTCAGCCGTGGACCCTCATCCCGGGCGGCTCCCGGTTCACAGAACCGGAGCGGGCTGCGACCCGCCCAGACACCAGAGAGACGGAGGCGCGGCCGAGCCCCCCGCGGCTCCACGGGTCTTCCACCCTGAGAGCCTGCCGGCGCCCCGCTTCAAGTCCGTCCTCGTCACAGAAGCGGCTGCCCGCCTCAGCGTGAAGGTGGGGAGCAGGGGTGTGCGGGGCGGAGAGGTGGGGGCGGAGAGCCCCGAGGGAAGGGCGGGGGAGCCTGGGCCGGAAGGCGTCCCAGGCTCGGCTGGGAGCCGGCGCTCTCTTTCGACGCCACCCGCTGCCCCCGCCCCCGAGCCGGCCGGGACGGCACAGCGTCTCCGCCCCCAGCGCACCGCGCACCTCACCTTGAACGCTGCTCCACCCACTCCCAGCCTATTGGGCCTCCCGGGCGGAGGCGGCCCGGCGATTGGCCAGGGTGGCCCAGGGAGGCCCCGCCTCTCTCCCCGCCCCCGTTCCCGTCCGCCGGTACTTTGGACGGCGGCGTGGCGCCCCTCCTCCCCTCCCGGTCCCCGCCCCCTGGAGCAAATGCTGCCGAGCTGCGGCCGCGGGGCAGATGCACGCGCTCGGGCCCTTCTAGCAGGCGCGAGCAGGCGCTGGGCGCGCGAAAGCGAAAGAAGGAAGAGGAAGGGAGGGCGAGGGCGGGGTGTTGAGGAGGGGCGGGAGGAGGAAGAGGAGGAGGTTGGAGCGCGCTCGCGCTTGGCCTCGCGCCCGCGCGGAGGGAGGGGGAGAGGGGCGCGCGCGCGCACTCTCGCGTTCTCGCTCGCTCCATCCATCCATCCTCCGGTCGCGGCACGCGCGCGCGCTCCGGGCTCGCGCCGCACCCCCCGCCCGGGAGAGGCGGGCTGGAGTGGGGGGCGGGGGGAGGGGCGCGCGGACGGCGCGCGGACTGCGCGCGGGCGGGGTGAGGTGAGGAGGAGGAGGCGGCGACGGGACGAGAAGGGAGGGGAAGGGGCCATGGCCGCCCGGTGAGGCGGCGAGGCGGGGGGGCGCCCCGACCCCCCGGCCCCGGGCCCTGGGCCCCGGGGAGAGGCGAGGACGGACCGACGGACATGGGGCTCCGGAGCAGCCGCCGCCGCCGCCGCCGCCGGAGGACGCGGCCCTGAGAGGCCGCCGGGCCCCGGCGCGGCCCCCCGGGCGGGGTGAGTACGGGACGGAGACGGGAACGGGGGAGGGGCCTGCGGGGGGCGGGGGGCGGGGCCCGAGGCGGGGCTTGGGCCCCCTCCCCCCAGGTCTGGGTCAGCGCCCCTTCCCCTCCCCCCGGGCCGACGCGGAAACGCCCGGCTTCCCCCGGCTTCCCGGCCCGGCCGGGGCCCCCTGCTCTTCCCCCTGTCTGGGTACCCCCCTTGGGCGGGGCAGGGCCGGCCGGGGAGGGGGCGCGGGGCCTTTGTTAGGGAGCCAGGCCCCAGCCCCCGGGACAATAGAGACACCCTCCCGGACTCCTGTGCCCGGTCGGGCCGGGCCGCCGGCAGGCTGGGAAAGAGAGGGGCCGGGACGCGTCCCACTCTGCCCACTCTCTGGGGGTCGGTCCGGCCCGGCCCGGCGCCGGCCTCGGGCGGCTCGGCTCTCCTCCCCCCAGTCGGTATGATGCAGCAGTGCCGCAGGGACGGGGGAAGAGCCGAGGCCGGGCCTCCTACCCTGCCCAGTGCCCCTGGCTCGTTTGTCAGTCCCCACCCCACTGTGGGCCGGCAGCCCCTTAAACTCGTACCCACCGTTCGGAGGGGCCCCGGACTGTGGGCGCTGTTTCTGAATCCTTTGGTGGGGGCTGCTGGACTTTGGGGCTCTTGGAGAGACTTCCGGGCAGGTCCTGAGGGAGGGAGGGTGGCTCTCGGAAAGAAGAACAGGTAAGGGGAGTGCCCTGCTCCTGGCGTGGCGTGGCGTGGCGTGCCACCCCACCGCGCGCTGTCCCCTCCGCCGGCGGCGGGCCTGCGGTGCCCTTTAGCGCCGGGCTGCGGCGGGCTCTGCCCCTCTCTGGAGCGGCCGGCTGATTTCAAGGGAAGACCGAGTGGGGTGAAGGTGGTAGGGTCCTAGGGCCATCGCCACTTCTGGTAGCAGTACCCCCCCAAGTGGACATCCTGGCCGAAGCAGAGGTGACTCCGAGGAGAGCCTTTAGGGGAGGGGGGGTGTACTTAGGAGTCTGTGCAGTTCTTTGCCACACCCTGTGGGTTCGCTTTGAGGCCTGAGTTCCTTCTCCTCCCCCTGCTGCATTGCACCATGGGTACCCGAGAGGGGTTTGAGTTTTGGGGACCTGGGGTGAGCAGCTGCCTGTTGTAGACCCAGGCTGAGATTGGCAGTGGCGTGCAGGGCCCGGGCTCAGGCCTGGGGAGGACTAGGCCACCTCTGGGCTTCAGGCCGGCCAGAGCGGCCGCACTCACTGAGCCTGGGCCTTGGGGGAGAGAGAGGCCCTGCTTCCAGGATTCCGCTCTGGGCAGCGAGGTGGGACGGGAGGTGGCAGTCTCCAGGGGTGCCTTAGATTCACACGGACACCCCCACCCCCATGTGTGCAGCCGTGTTGCCGCCCGCTGTGCTATGAGCAGTCAGAGCGCCGTCTCCACAAGAGTTTACAAATGAAAATGGAGGACATGTCTTTGTCTGGCCTGGATAACAGCAAACTAGAGGTGAGGGCTCCCCCACGTGCGCCTCTGGTTCTCGCTCTCGGCGTCTCCACGTCGCAATACCTGGCATCCCCACCAAAGAGGAATCTGGGTAGTCAGCCTCGCTCCTTAAAGGGAACGGCCAGCTGCGGAGGCCCGAGGACCCAGGAAGCAGAACGAACACGAAGCCACGATGGGGACAGTGGCAGAGAGCGCATGCTGTGTGGCCGGGGCTGCGTGGCAGGCGCCGTGGTTGGCGAGAGTCGCGCCTCTCGTGACCCTGGGTGTTCTCCCCTGGGGCCCAGGCCATCGCTCAGGAGCTATACGCGGACCTGGTCGAGGATTCTTGCTTGGGATTCTGCTTCGAGGTGCACCGGGCTGTCAAGTGCGGCTACTTCTTCCTGGACGACACGGACCCCGATAGCATGAAGGATTTTGGTGAGCTTCAGGGCGGAAGGAGGACAGCGTGTCCCCTGCCCTGGCAGCCGCCCTAGCTGAAGAGCCCGGAGCTCCTGTGAGCTCAGACAGGGCTTTGAAGAGGCCTCGGGACCAGGGGTGGGGGCAAGAGGCGAGGGCGCCCTGCCCGCCCTGACCGCCACACCTCTCCTGTCCCCAGAGATCGTGGACCAGCCGGGGTTGGACATCTTTGGACAGGTTTTCAACCAGTGGAAGAGCAAGGAGTGTGTTTGCCCCAATTGCAGCCGCAGCATAGCTGCCTCCCGCTTTGCTCCCCATCTGGAGAAGTGCCTAGGAATGGGTCGGAACAGCAGCCGAATCGCCAACCGCCGGTGAGGGCCTTCCCCCTGCTGGAACCCGGCCTGCGCTGTGCTGTGTCCGCAGGGCGGGCCGTCCCTGGCCCCCAGTGCTCCCCTGTAGTTCTGGAGGTGTGGATGGGAAGGGGCAGCGGCCTTGACCCTCCCCTGTCTCCTCCCCTTGGCAGGATTGCCAATAGCAACAACATGAACAAGTCTGAGAGTGACCAAGAGGATAACGATGACATCAACGACAATGACTGGTCCTATGGCTCGGAGAAGAAAGGTGTTTGGGGCTTGGGAAACGTGGGGGACAAGGGGATGCGATGGGCCGGTGGGGTGGGTGGAGGGTACGCAGTGGTCATGAGCTGTCCTGAGTGATGGGGGCCGTGTGTCGCTTTACGCTCTTTCCTGGCTGCCCTCAGATTGAGAACACGAAGTAACCCTGCTCTGTGGTTTTTTTGCCCCTCACAGCCAAGAAGAGAAAATCAGACAAGGTGAGAGTGGGGCAAGCACGGGGAGTGTGGGCCCAGGACAGCTCCCCTCCCCCGGGGCAGGGCGTCCTGCCCTCTATCTGAGGTCACGGGGCCTCTGGGTCTGGGGATGAGGGTGTCTGGTGGGCAGGGGGCAGCAGAGGCCGTGGCCAGCTGCAGGGCGGATGGGTAGATGGGAGTGAGAGAGGAATTTGAGGATGTTTCTTTGTCAAATCTTTTTTCCTTCCCTGGGTTCTCGGCTCCCCCTTATCGTTACCCTTTCCCCAAAGCTATGGTATCTCCCATTCCAGAACCCCAATTCCCCTCGAAGATCCAAGTCTTTAAAACACAAAAATGGTAAGTGGGGCTGGAACCATGGGAGGGCTTTCACTGTGGCTTCTGGGACTCGTTGCTGGGGGTGGGCTGGGAGGTGCGGGGGGGGGGGTGTCGAGGGAGGGCCTGTGATCCTTCTGTCACCCCCACTTCCTCTCTGGTTATTTTCAGGGTTCTCTGTCTGTACCTCTGCATCAAACACCCTTCCCCTTCTTTTTTCTTCTTCAGGGGAACTTAGCAATTCGGATCCTTTCAAGGTGAGCAGAGGCTGCCTCTCGTGGCCTTGCTGCGAGTTGCCTGGGATTTTATGGTGGGGAGCGGAAAGCTGGTAGCAACAGCGCTGGATGCTCTGTGGGGTCTTGTACACCCGAGTCCATCCCGGGCCCACCCCCACCCCAGCCCTCGTGCGCTGGGACCAAGGGCTCACTTGGAAGACTGCGGGGCAGTCCTGATGCTCTTCACGGGAGGAGGGAGGAGAGGGCCTGGTTCTCCACTCCCACCCCACGCCCCCTCGTTGCCCCTTTCTTGCTTCTCTGACTTGTTTCTCTGGTTCTCCCACAGTATAACAACTCAACTGGGATCAGCTATGAGACCCTGGGGCCGGAGGAGCTGCGTAGCCTGCTCACCACGGTGAGTGACCACAGAAGGGGCGGTCCTTGGGGAGGGGGCTGGAGCTGCAGGCAGTGGTCACAGCCGTGCAGGAGGCAGGAGGCTGGTGACATAGCAGTCAGGGCCACCACGTTCTCTGGAAGCCGGCTTCTCTGCCCATCGCAGTCCACACCGCCTGCCCTGGCCACCTGGGGCTGGTTCTGCTTGTGCAGGCTGGCGGTGTACTGCAGGGAGCGTGTAGGTCTAGCCGGGTGCCCGCCCCTCCTCTCAGCTTATATTCCTCTTCCAGCAATGTGGGGTGATTTCTGAACACACCAAGAAGATGTGCACGAGGTGAGCACAGAACTAGAAGGGGGCCGGGGGCCTCTTGAACACTCGCCCTGAGCATGGGTCGGGAGCGCCCCTGGATCTGAGCAGTGGGGCTCCTGCTCTTCCCCTCCCTTCCTGGAGCGGTCAAGCGTCAGGCCCCGGTCTGGGAGCACCTCATTCACCCCTGCCCTGTCTACGCCCTTCCCTCCCGCCTCTGCCGAGGGCAGGGAGGGCTCTGCTGACCAAGGCCCTCGGGCCCCTGCCTGCCTTGTCGGCTCTGACCCTTCTCTCCCCTACCAGGTCCCTGCGCTGCCCCCAGCACACGGACGAGCAGAGGCGAACCGTGCGGATTTACTTCCTCGGGCCCTCAGCGTGAGTGGCCTGCCGAGAAGGGGCTGGGCTGTGGCAGGTTAGGAGCCAAGCTGCGTCCCTCACGCCTTCGGCTCCTTCCTTTCCCAGCGTCCTGCCTGAGGTCGAGAGCTCCCTGGATAATGACAGCTTTGACATGACTGACAGCCAGGCCCTGATCAGCCGGCTCCAGTGGGACGGCTCCTCGGATCTCTCACCCTCTGATTCAGGCTCCTCCAAGACGAGTGAAAATCAGGGATGGGGTCTAGGTAGGTGGCACAGTGGGCCCTGGGGGCTCGCCCGGAAGGCCTGGGCACCACCTCTCCTGCTGCAGCCCAACCGTCCCCTTTCCTGCCTTTCTCTACAGGCACCAACAGCTCGGAGTCTCGGAAAACCAAGAAAAAGAAATCCCATCTGAGCCTGGTAGGGACTGCCTCTGGCCTGGGCTCCAACAAAAAGAAGAAGCCAAAGCCACCGGCGCCCCCAACGCCCAGCATCTACGATGACATCAACTGACTCGGGTGCAAGGGATAGCCTTTGGCTGAAAAGAGCCCTCTCTCCTGACCCCCACCCAGGTGGCAAAGCCTGGCAAACGGACAGCTGCTGGGGGTTTGGGCTTGGGAAGCTTGGTGGGCCAGGCAGGCGGAGGACCCAGTTATGCACCCCTGGGGGGTGTCAGGGTCTTCTGCAATGGAGCACGACTCCTCGGCGTGCGGGACTCAGACCTGGACATATTATGCCTTGGACATAAGTTTGGTGGGGAGGCGGTTTTCCTATTTATTCTGTGAGTTACTGGATGTCCAGCTAGGCCAGGGGCCTGACCTGGGCACTGTGCCAGGGCACTGCCTGCCCCCCACCCCAGGAACTGGACTAAGCCCTGCCGAGGGGCATCATGGCTACCCGGAGGCTGTGGGTTGGAAGCTGAGCCTGGAGGGGCCTCCCCCGGGCTGCCCTCAGCAATGTGAACGGGTCTGGTGCTTGGAGCTGAGGGGCAGGGCTGGGCATGTCCTGTCTGTGTGCAGAATCCTATCAGATGCCCCCAGTCCCCGGGGGCAGCAGGCAGAGTGCTGTCTGCTGAGTGGGCGTCCAGACCCTCACAGGGGCAGCCCTTTCCCTCAGTCCCCGTGGGCCCCCCTGGCAGCAGGCGCTGTCCTCTTGTTGGGTGCCAGGAAAGGGCCCCCAGCCTCTCAGCTTCAAGGAACGGGAGAGGGGAGGGCAGGACGAGGGAGCTGTGTGTATCAAAATTACTCCCCCTGCCTTTCCTCCCTGACCCAGGGCTGGCGAGGAGTGGGCCCCAAGGTGAGAGGGAACGGTGCTGCTTTATTTGACATGTTTTCTTACCTCATTCCCTGCCCCAGGAAGGGGCCCAGCCTCACCCTCCTGGGGTGGCCCCACGGTCCTCCTGCCCACCCTGCCCTGCTGGGGCAGCCCGAGTTCCCGACTGCTGCTGCCACCCGTCACCTTGACCAGCTTCGGTTCCTCTCAGCGCTCCTCCCTCCAGAGCCTGCCCCGTTCCCCCTCCCTTCGCCGCTTTTAAGTTATTTATTCTGTACTTGTGGTCTGGGGCTCTGAGGAAAACCTGACTCTGTGCCTCTCCCCCTTTGCTAGGAGTGGGGTGGGAAGCGACGGTGGCCTTCGCACCCTGGGCTGTCAGTGGAGGGCGAGAGGGCATCACGGCCCCTCTGGGACTGTCGTGCCAGTGTGCCCACCTGCCTGGTCTACATCCTCGAGAGATGTACCACCCCACCTCCACGCGAGCACCACCACTCCCGGGAGCCACGCTGAGGACTGCAGTCTGGGCGAGGAGCAGAGCTGGCTGGCCCCGAGCCGAGTCCTCCGCCCTCCTCCCAGGAGGAGCCATCCCCTAGCTTGGGTAGCGAGTACCCAGGACTGGTTGGACTGACTGGGGTTAGGGACCCTAGAGGGTTAAGAGAGCAACAGAGCAAGGGCTTGCCATGCCCTGTCTGGAACTCCAATCTCCCCCTGGGGTGGTTCTGATTGTGGCTGATGCCTGGTTACAGATTCGTTTTTAACCCAAGAATTGTGATTATTTTTTAAAGAGCCAAACACACTTTGGCAGGAGACAGAATAAATCCTGGGGCCCCGGCTCCTCTGTTCTTGGCCCTGCTCAGCCTTCTCCCCACATGGGGAAGCCAGAGGAAAAGGAGCATCTCCGCTTCCCGCAGAGCCTTGGCCGTGGGCGGGAAGGCCAAGGGCCACTCTCCCTTCTGGGAGGCAGCTGCAGTTCAGGCCCTAATACACCCTTTCCCTCCTGGCCTCCCCCTTCCCCCCCTTCTGGTTGGAGAAGGGAGAAGGGGGGAGTAGCTTGGGAACTGGTTTGTCCACATCCACGTCCCCATTGTTCCTTGGCCCACCCTCAGGGCCGAGCCCCCTGCCCAGGCTGGGTGAGATGGGCTTGGTCCAGCAGGAACCCTGAGGGAGCAGGCGAACCCCTTTTTTGGGGAGAGTGCCCCCTACCATGTAGTTAAGCAGGGGCTCGGGGCTCCCCACTTCCCTCCCTCGAACAGCAGGCTGTGTGGGTTTCGGTTCCCATCCTTCCCAGCCCGGCTAGGTGTCGTCCGCCCTGTATCCTATCATGTGTCTGAGTGTGTGGGGGGTTCTGTACTAATTCCCGGGGCCGGTGGCTTTTCCTTCCATGCATCACTCCCCCCCGCATGCCCAGGGGCCGCCCGCCTGGCATTACCGCATGCTGGGGTCGTTGGGGGAGGGGGGTGGGGCTCACGCTGTCCTGTGGTCTTGAGATTTTTATTTTTGCATATGTAATCCATCCTGTACAGGTAGCTAACTTTGTAAACGCTGTGTACTCCCTCTGCCCCCATGGCTGCTGGTGTAAATAAACTGCATCTCCCGTTGGTAGCCCAGCCTTCCCACCCTCCTCACCACGCTGCTGGGGGAGAGCAAAGCCACTCTTAATGTCACAGGAGGCGGCTCCACAGCCACAGGAATGGAACTTTATTCACAGACACCAACCCTCCATCCAACAGCCTCAGACAGGAGACCCTGAGAGCCATCCCAGAGCTCGTCCTTGGAGCTGGGCGGGGTAGGACGCTGGCTGGGGGCCAGTGCCATCTTGCTCACAGCCCTAGGCCTAGGGGAGTAGCAGCTGTGGCCTGGCCCCTCCCAATGCTGGGGGCTTGGCATTGTGCCCCAATCCCCTCCCCAACTGAGCTTTAGGAAGACTTAAAAAAAGAAGTCTCTGAAAGAGGGGAGCACAGTGGAAACTCTAGAACATGGGGGCCACCTATTGCTGCTACAGGGCTGGGGAGGAAGGTGGTGGCTGGGTGTCCTTATCCCCAGGGTGGCTTCAGGTCCTGGAGGCCACTCCTCAGCTCAGCAGGAGTGCAGTGGGGGCATGCTGGGCCACCCTGGCAGGCAGCTCTGGTGCTAGGGGCAGACATGCAGGGCACCTGGAAGAGCTGGGGTCGCTGCTGGGAGGGAACCTTCAGGGCCATCAGCTCGACCCCCGCGGGATCCCAGACATGAGATGACCTCCTCATTTCTACCTGAGTTGTGCTTGCACAGAGGGGATGTCCACACCCTGTGAACGTGAGGGGGAGGCCCCATACCTGCCTCTGGGGCCAACAGAGGGGGCAGCCCCTGTGTCCTTCCCACCCCTGCCTCCCAGGCCCTCGGGCCCAGCTCTGGCCAGGAAAGGGGGAGGCCACAGTGGAGGAAGACCAGGCCTTTCATTTTCTCCCCGTGTCCTCATCGTCCATACATCCCGAATACAAGGAAGCTGAAGAAGACGGTAACCCCCACCAGGGAGACAGTGGCAGGTGCTGTGAAGAACTGGCGGTAATTGATACGGAAGTACCAAACCACGCCCAACAGCACCACAAACACAGGCACCATGAGGCTGCCCACGTTGACGCCAAGGCTGGCTGGCTCGGTGACTGAGGGGGCCAGGGAGGCTGAGGGGCCTGGAGCAGCTGCCCCCGGGGGCGAACGGTGGCAGTGAATGACACAGTTGTCGGTGATGTTCAGGGACTGCAGTGTGCGGCCCGGGTCCTGCAGCAGGCGGCCCTGGTAGATGAATTTCATCTGGCTCTCCTGTCCAGGGAAGTATTTGCTGGAAGGCAACGCACGGAAGGAAAGACAAAGGTGAGGGGTGGGAGGGCGGCCAGAGAACTGAAGGAAGCATGCCCCCCACCCTTGGTAGGGGCTGTGCCTCACGCCTCCCTGCTGCTCCCCACCGTCCCCCACCAAGGGCTGGGAGCCTCCCGCTTTCCAGCCCACTCACCTCTTCAGAGCACCCACAGTGTCCTCGGGCCTGGCCACAGCCAGCTCCTCGGTGTCATTGAGGAATTTGAGCCGCACATGGATGAGGCCGGGGCTGGCAGGGATGCAGGTGCTAGCCTCGGAGCGCAGGGGGGCCTCAGGCCCGCTGCCCTCTCTGCCTGCTTGTCTCTTGGGCAGGCCTTGGATGTCCAAGAGATGCTCCAGGCTGGGCTCGGCACCGCCTCCAGCCCCCGACTCCCCTGTGGCGTGTCCCCCACCTTCGCCGGCCTCTTCAGCCTTCTCATCATTACCCTCTGATGGAGGGGGGAGTTCGCTGGGCTCTGGGGCTCCTTGGCCTGCTACCAGGTGGTCCACGTGCCCCAGGTGGAGGACAGATGTATCGCCTGCTGACACGATAGTGCCCAGGAGCTGGCTGCTGCCACTGTCTGCTACATAGGTAGAGAGCCAGGCTAGGACCAAAGCGAGAATCAGCACCACCACACCGGCCACCACCATCACCTCATTGCCCACACCCTCAATGAGGGTGACGTCAGAGAGCTCCATGGTCCGGCTGCCGACGGGGTCTGGGCTGCAAGAACAAAGAGGGGCGGCATCAGTGGAGCCCGAGGAGCTGTGACCAGGTTTCTAGCTTGTCTGGGCTTTCACTGACCCAGCCCTGACTGCAAATGGAGTTCAGTGGAGAAGGGAGGCACAAAGCTTCCTAACTCTGGACCCCAAACTGAAAGCCAAGGCCTTACCCTTTGCCACGATTGTGAAACTCTCAGGTTGCACACCCTTCCTCCCACATTCCAACCTCCCCACCAGCAGATCCCCGGCAAGACCTCCTCTGCGTGTCGTTGCTGCCACTGTTTGCTGTTCTGAAACATTTATTTCAAAGGCAGAGTGCAGAGAGGTCCTCCATCTGCAGGGTCACTCCCCACATGGCCGCAGCTGCCAGGGGCTGGGCCAGGCCAAAGCCAGGAGCCTGAACTCCATCCAGGTTTCCCATACGGAACTCAAGTCCTGGGCCATCCTCCGCTGCTTCCCAGGTCCCTTAGCAGGGAGCTGCAGCAGAAGCGGAGCAGCCGGGACACAGACCCGTGCTCCGACACAGGACGGCGATGTCCGACTGGCGGCCGCGTACCCAGGCTCCACGGCACCCGCCTGCACGGCTGCTACTTTTTAGTGAATGGGGAGAAACATTCGCTTCTTTGAGCGCAGTTCTTAGACTTTCCAACACTCGGTCAAGCAAGTATGTCCCCTAAGCAACCTCCAAGGCAGCTGTAGAGAAACCAAGAAATCCGAAAAGTTTTATCTTAAGGCCTCTTCGGAGGCCCTGTGCGGCCAGCCTTGCAGATCTGAGCCCCTTCTCCCTCACGGTCGCAGATCCAGGCCCGGCTGTCAAGACCTAAGGAAAATGAACCTCTCATCGAAACAGTCACACCTCCCCAGAGGCCACCGGAGGGGCCACCAGGGGCTCACAAGCACCACACGCAGTTCCCAGGTGAACTGCCTCGGGAAGGATTCCACGCCGGCTCTCCCAGGCCCTCTCAGCTCTCCCTGGGCCGCGGCGTTGACCCTGCGCGCTTCCTCCGAGAACCTGCTGCGCTCACAGCCGCCCCTGGGCAAGTCCAGGCCGGCGGTCACCAGCATCGGGCTGTCCTCACCGCACCTGCGCAACTTCCTCACACGGCTCTAGCTGTCCGGCTCTCTACCCGATCCAGGAGACAAGGAGGACTGCGCGCCTGGGGAACCTACCAACCTCGGCCTCACCCGCCACGCCGGCCCTGCCCCTGCGGCCGGGGAGAAAGCAAACACAGAGCAACCCATCACAACGCCCGCCCGCCTGCCTCTTCCTGGCGGCGGACAACTTTCTCAGAGCCTCGGTAAAACGGGGTTAAAAATAGCACCTACCTCGGCAGGTCGTTTGGAAGATGACGTGAAATCACCCAAGCAAACTACCTAGCGCGCTGCCCGGCACATTGCAGCCGTTCAAGTGGCAGCCATCAGGTTACCACTGCCCCGACCAAGCCCTCACGGCAGGCGCGGTAATGGCATGAGCCGCGCTTTACAGAAAAGGGTGGCGGCGAAGCGACCGAAACGGCTGGTTGGACACCGGGACCCCAGCCCGCCCGCCCCCCGGGCCTTCGCCCTCTCAGCCCGTCGGCGCGCTGAGTGAGGAGGGTCCGCCTCCCCGTCTGTCCGAGCCGCAGGCTCCGCGTCTGGGCGGTCCTGCTCCCGCAACGCTGGCGCGGGGGCTGCCGGGTTCCGGTCACGGCGCCCAAGCCCAGCTCTCCTAGGCCCCGAGGGGCAGGATCAGGTGAGGGGGTCACAAACCATCCACACCCCTCAAACTTCGGGGCGGGGCTGCTGGACCGGGGGTGGGGCTTGAGGGCGCGAGGAGTCATGGGAAAATTAAAGGGGGCTTGGACTGGTACTGTGCTCGGATGGGGAAGGAGGTCCTCACCTGAAAAGTCCAGACTAAATAGTTTTACCTTCTCCAGGACGGCCCCTGGCCTCGTCTTTCCGTAGGGACCGGGGGAGGGGCTGGCAATCCTCGACTCGGTCCACAGTCCAGTCTCTTCCGGCTTCTCCCGGAAGCTGTTAGAACCACAGATAGGAAGTCCCGCCTCCGCGCCTTGCACTGATGACGCACGTCTACGTAAGGCGAGCTGACGTAAACGTATTCTTTAAATAAAAGGGACAGGGTTCTCAGCGGAAGAAGGGGCGGAGTCATTGTTGGCGGGATCGCGGCCCTCCGGGCTCAAGGCCACGCCTGGTGGGCGGGGCCTCAGGCCGACCGGAGTGAGAGGCGGGGCCGGGGGAGGTGCTCGGGGCGGGGCGTGGCTTCGTGGCCGTGGAACTTTGCCCAGGCTGGCTCCCCCGGCCGGAGCCTGAAAGAGGCCGCCCACTCTGCGGCCTGTTTCTTCAGGCCTTGCTCCCTGGCTCCCAGGCTGAAGGGATTCTTTACCGCCCTGGGCCGCGGACTGAGCTCCAAGTCCCCGGAATCAGTGAGGACCTCCTCGGCTCTGGGCTGGTAGGGCAGATGGAGGGGCCAGGTTAGGCAGTGCGCGAAGATGGCAGCTCCAGGTGGCGTGGAGCCTGGGTAAATACGGCGGGAAAGCGTTTCAGAGAGGCAGGGATTCATCGCAGCCTCGGGGCACGAGAAAAGGAGCCAGAGAGACGGGAGAAAAAGCTCAGCTCCCCAGCACTTACCTAAGGGTTTGTGTTTTTAATGAGCTGTTGATTAAAGTATAAATAATGCAGCCGGGGCAATCTTAAGTGCAGGGCTCGGTGGTTTGCACCGGCTGAACTCTCGGCCAGAACGAGCCTGCAGAAGCAGCAAAGGAAATGACCCCAGAACCAGCTCCCTTCAGACCTCGTCTAGCCACTGACGTCCGTCATAGGTTAGTTTTTCCTGATTTTGCACTTTATATAAAAGGAATCCGGGGCCGGTCGTGGCGCAGCGGGCTAAACCACCAAGTGGGACACCAACAGCCGCTGCTCCAAGTCCCATCCAGCTCTCCGCTATGGCCTGGGAAAGCAGTGGAGGACGGCCCACGTGCCTGGGCCCCTGCACCCACGTGGGAGACCCGGAAGAAGCTCCGGGCTCCTGGCTTCAGCCTGGGCCAGCCCTGGCCATTGTGTCTGTTTGAGGAGTGAACCAGCAGATGAAATGTATCTTTTGATGTCTCCCTAGCTCTGCCTTTCAAAAAATGATAAAATAAATATTTAAAACAAAAGGAGAAGGGATACAGTGTTGACATAGCAGGTAAAGCCGCCACCTGCGATGCCAGCATCCGAATGGGTACCTGTTGGTTTCTCAGTTGTTCTACTTCTTTTTTTTTTTTTTGACAGGCAGAGTGGACAGTGAGAGAGAGAGACAGAGAGAGAAAGGTCTTCCTTTGCCGTTGGATCACCCTCCAATGGCCGCCGCTGCAGCCGGCGCACCGCGCTGATCCGATGGCAGGAGCCAGGATCCAGGTGCTTTTCCTGGTCTCCCATGGGGTGCAGGGCCCAAGCACCTGGGCCATCCTCCACTGCACTCCCTGGCCATAGCAGAGAGCTGGCCTGGAAGAGGGGCAACCGGGACAGAATCCGGCGCCCCAACCAGGACTAGAACCCGGTGTGCCGGCGCCGCAAGGTGGAGGATTAGCCTATTGAGCCACGGCACCGGCTCAGTTGTTCTACTTCTGATGCAGCTCCCTGCTAATGTGCCTTGAGCCTCTGCACCCACATGGGAGACCCAGAAGAAGCTCCTGGCTCCTGGCCTCTGGCTGGCCCAGCTCTGGCCATTGCAGCCATTTGGGGAGTGAACCAGTAGATGGAAGATCTCTCTCTCTCCCCCACCCCCTCTATAACTCTGCCTTTCAAATAAATAAAATAAATCTAAAAAAATTTTAAAAAGAGACTGTTTTGTGTCTGGATTCTTTTAAAGTTTGTTATTTTAATTTTAAAAGAGATTTATTTATTTATTTGAAAGGCAGAGTTGAGTCAGAGAGAGAGAGATGGGGGTATCTTCCATTTGCTGGTTCACTCCCCAAATGGCCACAACAGCCAGGGCCAAGCCAGGCTGAAGCCAGGACCCAGAACTCCATCAGGGTCTCCCATATGGGTGGCAGGAACTGAAGCACTGGGCCATCGTCCACTGCTTTCCCAGGCTGCTTCAGGAGTGCAGGTGTAGCCAGGATTTGAAGCGGGCACTCAGATAGGAGATGTAAGTGTCCCGAGTGGCCGAGTGGCAGCTGCACCTACTGTGCCTTTATGCCGTCCTTTTTTTTTTTTTTTTTTTTCTTGAAAGGCAGAATTATAGAGAGAGGAGGAGGAGAGAAAGAGAGGCCTTCATTGCCTGGTTCACTTCCCAAATGGCTGTAATGGCCAGGGCAGAGCCAGGACAAAGCCAGGAGCCCAGAGCTTCTTCCGGGTCTCCCATGTGGGTGCAGGGGCCCAAGGACTTGGACCATCTTCTACTGCTATCCCAGGCCATAGCAGAGAGCTGGATAGGAAGTGGAGCAGCCGGGACTCGAACCAGCACCCATATGGGATGCCGGCGCTTCAGGCCAGGGCGTTAACCCACTGCGCCATAGCACCGGCCCCGAAATATTATATTTTTATTTTTAAAAAGGTTTATGTATTTGAAAGGCACAGTTAAAGAGAGGCAGAGCAAGAGAGAGAGAGAGAGAGATCTTCCATCTACTGGTTCACTCCCCAAATGGCCACAACAACTGGAGCTGAGTTGATCTGAAGCCAGGAGCCAGGAGCTTCTTCCAGCTCTCCCACGTGGGTGCAGGGACCCAACCAAGCACTTGGGCCATCCCCCACTGCTTTCCCAGGCCATAGCAGGGAGCTGGATCAGAAATGGAGCACCTGGGACTTGAACCGGCGTCCAATGGGATGCTGGCACTGCAGGCAGCGGCTTTACCTGCTATGCCACAGCGCCGGCCCTGGAAAAGTATTGTTTTAATTTCAGCATATGTGTACCTTTTGGGTTTTAAGGTTTAGTGGTTTTACTTTGAAGAAGCAGGCAAGTCATCAAGGTCCAAGTAGACAGAATTTTGAGAATGAATATTTTCCAAGCAAAGTTCCAGACAGAACAGGTTCGAGAGCTTCCAGTAAGTACTGGAAGGCGTGGAAGAACATTGACTTGAATACTGCTAATGCATCTGTGTAACGAAGCCCCGTTTGTGTTGAGAGCTTACTGTGTACCACGGACCATGCTGAGCATTTCATGTGCATTTTCTCACGGAGCCCAATCTAGTAGCCCCTGCTTACCTAGTTAGCAGGTTTGGAAAAAGAGACTCACGGAGAATAAATAATTGTCCAGGTCCTGGTGCTGTGGCATAGTAGGCTGGGCCTCTACCTGCGGCACTGGCATTCCATACGGGCACCAGTTCGAGTCCCAGCTGTTCCTCTTCTGATCCAGCTCTCTGCTTTAGCCTGGGAAAGCAGTGGAGGATGGCCCAAGTGCTTGGGTCCCTGCACCCACGTGGGAGACCTAGAAGAAGCTCCTGGCTCCTGGCTTCAGATCAACTCAGCTCCAGTTGTTGTGGCCATTTGGGGAGTGAACCAGTAGATGCAAGACCTCTCTCTCTGTCTCTCCCTCTTTCTGTCTATAACTCTACCTCCCAAATAAATAAAAAAATCTACAAAAAAAAAAAAAAGATTTGTTTATTATTTGGAAGGGTTACAGAGAGATCTTCCATCTGCTGGTTCACAGTGGCCAGGGCGGGGCCAGGACACAGCCAGGAAGCAGGAGCTTCATCGATCATTCTGATCTCCCGGATCAGAAGTGGAGCAGCACCAGGGAGGCCAGTGTCTCAGGCAGCGACCTCACCCTCTGCGCACAGTGCCAGCCCCAAGGCGAAGTCTCAGGATAGCTGTGGTGGAGAGGGGCCATGGAAGGGAAACCCATTGGCTGGGGCAGAATGGCTGTGGTGGAGAGGGGCCATGGAAGGCAAGCCCACTGGCTGGGGCTGGAGACAGGATGCTCCGTGAGAGCAGGGGAGGCCTGGAACAGTGCAGGCCGCGTCTGACCCGGCGTGCGCTCTGTGTGTGCAGCAAAGGTCCAGAGCAGCTGCGTTAGGGTGTTTTGAAAGAGGGGCTTTCAGGGCTGGGTTCTTGCGGGTGGAGGGATTATAAACTGAAAACTGAGGAAAGAAAGAATCTTGCTGGGCCGGCACTGTGGCTCAATGGGTTAGAGCTGCTGCCTGTAGTGCCGGCAAGCTATATAGGCGCCAGTTCGAGTCCTGGCTGCTCCACTTCCAATCCAGCTCCCTGCTAATGATTTGGGAAAAGCAGCAAAGGATGGCCCAAGTGCTTGGGCCCCTCTCACTCATGTGGGAGACCTGGATGAAGCTCTTGGCTCCTGGCTTCAGCTATCTGGGGAGTGAACCAGCAAATGGAAGATCTCTCTAACTTTTTCAAAGAAATAGATAGACCTTTTTTTAAAAAAGAAAGAATCTTGCAATTAGAACTATATCATTGCCATTTTTTGTGGCCATTTGGGGAGTATCCCAACAGATGGAAGACCATCTGCTGGTTCACTCCCCGGATAGCTGCAATAGCCAGGACTGGGCTGATCTGAAGCCAGGAGCCAGAAGCTTCTTCCAGGTCTCCCATATGGGAGGCCATCTTCTGCTGCTATCCCAGGCCACAGCAGAGAGCTGGATCAGAAGTGAAGCAGCCGGGACTTGAACCAGTGCCCATATGGGATGCTGGCACTGCAGGTGGTGGCTTTACCCGCTACACCACAGCGCCGGCCCCACTGGTTCACTCTCCAGATGGCCACAACAGCCACACCTGAGTAGGCCAAAGCCAAGAACTTGGGGTTCCATCCAGGGCTCCCATGTGGGTGCAGGGGCCCAACTACTTGGGCCATCCTCTGCTGCTTTCCCAGGCACAATAGCAGGGAGCTGGATTGGAAGCAGAGCCGCTGGGATTTGAGCCAGTGCTCTGATATGGGCTGCTGGCGTCTCAGGCAGCAGTGTAGCTGGCCGTGTCACAATACCGGTCCTGAACTTCGGTAGTAGTATCTCTCTGTACAACTTGATGGCTACACAGGGATGTATCTCTGAATCCAAGCTGCTGCCTCAATTCATGGATTTACAGCAAATCCATTTTGCTAAAAAAAAAAAAAAAAAAAAAAAAAAGGTGCCCCTTTGCTAACCACTAGGTAGTTTTCATAATAGGCAAAGAGTGTGTGTTCATTTGCATTCATGATTCCTAGTGAATTTGCACATTTCTTGTGTTTCATTGGCCACTTTGTAAATTATGTTTGTGCTTTTTGCCCTTTCTTAAGTTTTTGTTTTCTAAAAATACTGCACAAGACTCCACGGGCACCAGTTGTGGGACTTCAGATGCCTCTCCTGAGGGGCGCAGGTCGCAGTCCTCTCCCGGAAGGGAATTCCTGAGCGCCGGCCTTCCGGGCTCCTGTTCCTCTGCAACGCTGGGGCGTTGTTTGCTGCACATACTGGATTCCAACCTGTTTCTGTCTAACAATACCCGTCCAGGCCGCCTGGCGTCACCCCGTTTTCTCTGCTACAAAGTACTGAACTGTATGCCACAGCATAGGTTTCACACCCTCCCGCACCCCGGGTTGTCACGAGCAATGTGGACACGGTACCCTGATGCACCTGCTGTTCATGTTGCAATAGGGATGCTGCCAAATTACCACCCAAGAGGCATCTGCCCACCGACAGGCTGAGAGAATGTATCCATATCTGCATAGGCACTGCATGGTATCAACCTAGTGGAGGAACAATATTTTAATGTTGTCTTATTTTTTAGACTTTTTATTTATTTATTTTCAGCTACTCGAAAGGCGGAGAGACACAGATCAGTCTTCTACCCACCAGCGCACTCCCCAAATGCCCACAAGAGCCAGGGCTGTGCCAGGTTCAAGCCAGCAGCCAGGAACAACATCTGGGTCTCCCACGTGGGTGGCAGAGACCCAGGTCCTTGAGCCACCCCCTGCTGCAGAGGGCCGGTTCAGAAGCGGAGGTGCCAGGACTCGGATCAGCACTCCGATATGGGATGCAGGCGTCCCAAGCAGCGGCTTCCCCGTGCACAACGCCTGCCCCTGTTTGAACCTGCATTTCCTGGCTCCCGGTGAGATGCTGCATGTTCAGCAATGGGGCAGACCTGTGAAGACCGGCTTTCCCTGAGGCCCCGTGTAGGCAATGGCGAGGCAGTGCCACTCCGCCCGCACAGGTCAAGGACGTGCAGCGGCTTCCAGAATTTACCTTTTACTTATCTCAGTGACTGGGTGCTTATGGAACTAAATTTACATTTTTTGTAGTGAGATCTATTCATCTTTTCCTCCATGCTGGGAAGTCTTTCCCCACTGCCAAGCGGCATACATAACCACGAGAATCTCTCGTTTTTCTCCGCAGGTATCCAAGGGGTGGGAGGTTTAGTGTGGAGCCCAGAATGAGGCGGCCCGGGACGACGGAGGAGTTCCCTTCTCTCAGGCCTCCTGGCTCTGTGCAGCTGAAGCCAAAAGTTCACCCAGACAGGGGCGGCTGCCGCTCTGTGCAGTGAGGTCAGAGGTCAAAGCCTGCCTTTGTGCCGGTGAAAGGGAATCTCCACAGAGGGAGGACTCTGGATCCCAGAGAGCCCAGGATCCCGCAGCCGGGGCCTCGCACTAGTCTTCCCAGCCGTCTCGGGCCCGAGTAACAGTTGTGCAGTGCAAAACCCTTGGAAACCACACAAGAGCACAGAACGGAGTGCCGGGCACCCCATCACACTGAACTCTAATGACATCCATGCCTTTGTTCTGTGCACAAACCGTTTATTTGCTGGGCTCGCTTTGCAAAACTTCCTCCTAAAGATCAAGCGTGGTCCTTCTGAGTCTGGGACCACAGGACGTGAGACAGGGAGGGAGGACAGCCGGTGGCTGGTGCCGACACAGGCTCTCAGAGGCCAGCAGGTGTGGTGACCGCTGTCTTAAGGCTCCACGCCTCTCACGGGGCTGGGGGGCACGCACTCCTCCCTCAGCAAGCAGGTGCTGAAATGCGTCCCAAGAGTACAGTCCCTGCCCCAGCCTAGCCCAGGCAGACACAGGCACTTAGCAAGTGCAGCGCCCCAGGCTGCCTGGGGGCAGGCACAGGGAGCAGTATTGGAACTAATGCTTGAGGGTCACATGGGCCTTGACCAGTGAAGGTTCCAGAAGCAGTGGGAACAATCATGCAAACTCTGGATGCAAAGAAGGGCAGGACAGGTCCAGCAAGCAGTGAGCGGTTTATGAGGGCTGGGTGACCCCAGGGTGGCCATGAGCCAGTGGACCTGACAGAGCCCCAGCTCCGCCGGCTCCCCTTGTTGGGTTTTGACTTAGGCTGGAGGTGGGAGCCACTGAAGGAGATGAATGACTGGAGATGTGATTCCCAAAGGTCATCCCAGCATGCATCAGGGCCCTCCCTTGAAGTGAGAATGGCAGGTTGGGCACAGCCATGCAGGGAGAGGTGGGATCTGTCCCTCTTTAGGGGGCTGGCCAGGTACATGAGGGCAGGAGGTGAGGTGGCACAGGCTCCCGGCTTGCGGCACCCACGGGAGCACAGGAAGGGGTGGGCAAAGGCTGAGTCTGCAGAGAGAGCGGTGGGCTGGACTGTGCGGCCCCAGGAGTGCGGGGGGTGGGGGGTGGCGGTGGTGGCGATGGGGACGAGCTGCGGCAGTGGCCCGGCACAGGGCTCACTGGATGCGACCCTCCACTCGCAGCAGCAGGTAGTCTCTGAGGAGCGGCGGCAGCGGGAGCCGGGAGGCAGCCTGGCGGCAGCGGCCCCCAAGCTGAGCCCGCACAGCCAGCCGGGCCAGGTGCTGCAGCCGCCGCGGCTGGTTCACCATGCGCAGGGCCGAGCTGTAGAAGGCTTCGTGCTCCTGGGCCAGGAGGGAAAGACGGTCAGCTGTCCGACACCCTCAACTCCGTCCTTCCACTGGGCAACCCTGGTAGGGGCCCTGGGCATGCAGTGTGTGTGTGTGGGGGGTCTCAGCCACGTCTGTGCCCATCCCCACTCGGGAGGTGCTGGCACAGCGTGTGGGATACCACGGGGGGAAGCACCCTGGATTCCAGGTGTCTCCCTCTGCACATCCCCTTCCTCCTGGCCCCTGCTCTTCCCTCCACGAAGCAGGTCCTGGGGGGAGAGGCCTGGCCCTCCTCTCCCCAGGACGAGCCCTGCCCCTGGGGTGGACGTACCTGCCAGAGCTCCGGGAGCACCGCCTCCACCCAGCTGTCACAGGACGGGACGCACGGGTAAGCGTTGAGCAGGACTTCCAGGGCCCGAGGGAAGTTGGCACAGTGTTTCAGCATCTAGGAGTGAAACGGGCGTCACAGGGCACCACGCCTCTCCCAGTCAAGGCAGGCCCGGGTCCCCATCACATCCTGATTTGGGGCTAAGGGCTGGCTGTCTCCTGCCTTTCCCTCACCCCACCCTGGAGTGTGCTCCAACCTCTGACCCCATTCTGCAGCTTTCCCCTGTTGGACGCCCCCCCCCCCCAGCCCTATCTCCCCATCCCCAGTCGCGGATAGCCCTCCAGCCCCTAAAGGTGGGAGTGAGTCTCCCGGACCGCTGGCTTCCCCAGGGGCAGGGCCCGTCCAGTCGCAGACTGCCCCACCTGGTAGGAGCCGCCCTTCCCAGGCCCTCCGCGTGTACCTCGGGGCGCACAGGCTGGGCCCCGTAGTCCAGCAGCGCCGCGAAGAGGACCTCGGGTTCCCAGTTGGGCGCATCCTGGACGGCCTGCAGCGCGCAGTCCATGGGTGTGTGGCCCGCGCCGTTGGGGGCTCTCGCGCAGGCCCCGTGACGCAGCAGCAGCTCTGCCAGGCCCCCGCAGCCGTTGGCACAGGCGTTGTGCAGGGGCGTGTGCTGCTTGCGCCCGGCCGCCCTGGGGTCCGCCCCGGCCTCCAGGAGGCGCCGTGCGGCGGCCTCGTGCTGCCTGCTGCTGCCCGGGCCCTCGGCGCTGGCGCACGCGGCGTTCAGCGCCGTCTCCCCCTGGCTGGTGCGCAGGCCCACGTAGGCGCCATGCTCCAGGTAAAGAGCCACGTGCTTCTCCAGGCCCCGCGCCGCGGCCACGTGCAGGGGCGTCATCTCGGTCTCCCGCGCCGCCAGGTTCACGGTGGCTCCTGCCTCCAGCAGCAGCTTGGCGCACCTAGGGACAAGACGCAGGGCACCAGGGCAAATCTTGAGGGCCCCAGACTTTGCCTGGGGAACCCCTTAGCCTGCTGCTCCCTCTGCTTTCTTCCCAGCCCTCGGCCTGGGGGCGCCAGCTGTCAGGTCATGGAAGCCCCACGACAGCAGAGCTGGGAGGCCCGTGGAAGCCACTGAGGGCACCTTCAATTTTCAGATGACAAACCTGCGCCAGTGGGAGCCTGTGCAGCCCAGGACGTCTGTCAGTACTGATCCAGAGTCAGCACTCAGCTCACAGCCCCTCCCGGCCGCCTACCCACTCCTCGTCCTCCGCCAGGCCAGGGGCCTCCCAACATTCTGATGGCACTGATTTTTCTGAAAATCCCCTCCAATGCACATTACCCAGTGTAGGAAATTTAGGAGTATGTATGAGCCCAACATAAATAGAAGCTCTGGTATTTTCTTCCTGTCCCCAAACTTCCAGACCAAGCCACGCTCACTCAGGCGGAGGGAGGCACCAGGGGGCCTCCCCGCTCCACGCTCCCCTGGAGCAAACCCACAGAACCAAACCAACAGAAAACTGCGAGCGCACATGGTTTGCAGACTAAGTTCCTAGAAAAATTGTAGAGCAGAGCGCTGTTCCAGCAAATGCCCGTTACCTACTGCAGGCTGGGCCAAGCACAGAGAGCTAAATTAATAATGATGAGACGACACTAGCAGTCATTTATAATGAACAAGCCGGAACAGCAGGCCCGTGGGCCCCCGCGAGCCCCGGTAACCAGGCACCTTCCCCAGAGTGGCCAGAGCTCCGGCTCGCGGGTCTGCCAGGCGGCTCAGGATCGAGAAGCAGCGAGTCTTCCGCACACTGCTGAATTCACTTCCTTGCTTCTGGTCAGGGGCTCCTCCCTGGTTTTAAACATTGCACCTGGGGAACACTGGCGCGCGCGCTCAGCAGAGTTGCAGCCGTGGCCATTGTCACCTTACCGGAAAGGACGAGGTTGGTGGAAAGTGCACCACGTGCCCACCTGAACCCAAGCCGGGGCTGGCACCAACCCCGAGCTAGGCCTGGTGGGGAGAGGGCCCCAGCGCGTCTTCCAGGAGCCCCCCCAGCCTTACCTGCCGGCTGCACCTGTCGACCTGATCGAGTGTAAATCACCCAGGGGCCCCGGAAACCACAGCAGAGGAAGGGCGGGCAGAGGGGCTCCTCGCACCGAGGTCGGAAACGCCGCCAGGTCTTTTCCTGACGCCCACCTTCCATCACCCAGCACTGGCTACAGAGGGTTCACGGGACTCACGGACCGCACCCCGAATGGGGCTCCCCCACAAATCACCAGGCTCTGGCTGCCAGGATTAGCAGCGTTGACCTTGGGAAAGTCACTAAACCATTCTGAGCCTCATTTGTCTTGTCTTGTCTGTAGAACGAGGCCTGTGTCCGCGTGTGTGCGGTGCTTTGGCTGCATGAGCTGGACACACACACACACACACACACACACACGTGCACGTTCCCCAAACCATCCCAGCCCCTGAGCACCTACTGTAAGGACTCGGGGGCCGTGCAGAGGTGCAGCGGGGCTGTGCCCTCCTCGGACAGCACGTTGGCCTTGGCGCCGAAGTTCAGCAGGAGCCGCACACAGTCGAGCTGGGCTCGGGCACAGGCCTCATGCAAAGCAGCCCGGCCGCCCACCCGGGCGTCCAGCTCAGCCCCCTGCAGGATCAGGTGGCGGGCGCAGTCCGTGTAACCTCGGGCCGCAGCGATGGTGAGGGGTGCCGTCTGCTTGGTCTTGGGGGCTAGCACCCAGAATCCTGAGGAGAGCAAGTCGCGTTGGGGAGGGGGTGAGCCTGGGCAGCAGGGTGGGCAGCGGCGATGCTGGCCTGCAGTTGACACTGGGCTCCCCTCTCGGCTGGGCTGTGGCCGTGGAAAGGGCCTCACTCAAGCCCTGAGTCGGGAGTATGAATGGAACAGCCTTCTAGAACAGTCTGTCAATCTGTGACCAAACAGCGTGTGCCACAGAAAACCACAAGGGCCACCCACGAGGGGGTGGGGGGTCTGCTCGGGGAGTCGGAGTCGGTGGTGTTTTTGCTCAGCGCTGGCTCTGGGTGTGGGGGGGTGGTTATGCACAGGTGCGCCTGCCTCGGGTCCTAGGCTTCTGGGGCAGAGAGGGCTGGGCGGGAGTACAGGGGAGGGTGGAGGAGGAGAATGGGGGGGGGATGGCATGAGGAGAGGGTTTGGTTATGTAACGGTGATGGAGTCCAGTGGTGGGGATGGTGAGGAGCTTGCTAGAAGGCCTAAGAGGAAAACCAGAATTGTTTATATGGCAGTGAAGTAAATCCATGGTTCTTCCAAATCTCGGGTAAAGCAGGCTTTGTTTTCTACCAGGATTGAAATCAAGGCCAAATTCCACTTTGGAGATGACACACGTGCTGCAGGACAAGCCCAGGAGGTCCTGGGAGAAGTCCCGGCCTTGATCTGCTGAGCCGGGCGGGAGTCTGCAGCCTGCTGTGGCTGTGGCTCGCTAGAGCATTTTATTTTTTTGATTTATGTATTTATTTGAAAGGCAGTGACAGAGGGAGAGGGGGAGACAGACAGAGGGAGAGAGAGATCTTTCATCCACTGCTTCCTTCCTGAAATAGCCACAAATGCCTGGGCTGGGCCAGGCCAAGCCAGGAGCCAAAACTCCATCCAGGTCTCCCATGGGGGTGGCAGGGACCCAAGGACTCGGCCATCCTCTTCCGAGTTAGCAGGAAGCTGGGTGGGAGGCACTGAGTTGCCGGGACATCGTCCAGGCATTCTGAAATGGGAAGCGGGCATCCCACGAGGCAGCTTCACCTGCTTTGCCACAACACCTGCCTCTCTCTTCCGTCTTCAGACTGCGGGCATCCCAGTTGAGCTATTTGGTGTACAAGGATGAACCCTCTAGTCAGAGCACACCCTAAGTCAGTCATCTGTACAGAACCACAAGTGCATAAAGATGTTCATCGCGTCGTTACTTAAAATAACTGTACCAGAAGGGGGTGGGGATTCTGCCTTCCACCGGTAAGCCACTGCTGTGACAGCAGCGTGCTGTATCTGAGAGCAGGTCCCAGTCCTGGCTGCTCTGCTCCCAGTCCAGCTCCCTGCTAATGCCCGAGGAAAGCTGCGGAAGATGGCCCAAGTGCTTGGACCCCTGCCATCCACGTGGGAGACACAGATGCAGTTCCAGGCTCCTGGCTTCAGCCTGGATCAGCTGTGGTAGCCATTTAGGGAGTGAACCAGCAGGCAGGCAATCTCTATCTCCCTCTGTTACTCTGCATTTCAAATAAATACATTTTAAAAATAATAATAAAATTAAAAGTTAGAAGAGCAAAGACAAAAAAAGGAACCCAATTCTCCCGGGGACTAGTTATGTAAGTCACAGTGAGCGTTACAGAGTACCATCTATGTGCCTGTTTAAAATACTTTGTTATTGACATGGAAAGGTGATACATGAGAAAATCAGTTTATGAAACTGCATATGGGATATACTTTTATTCCATGAAAGAAAAATGTCCCTATATGTGGAGATATAATATAGGTAAAGAAGGGAAAAACAGCATTAAAATATATCTTCCTATAGAATCCATGTACACCATTGTTCTTTTAAAACCTATGTTGAAAGAACGTGATTAGGAAGACAGCTGAGCACAGCGCAGCATGGGGGGGCAGTCTGGGGCCTGCACGGAGGGCCCGGGGCCTCCCCCACCCCGCTCCCCTCACCCTCTCTCCTGCCCCCACCGCGGCCCCCTACCCTGTTCGCTGGACCAGGCCAGCTGGTTGCTCGCAGTCTCCACGATCATGTTGGCGGCCTCCTCGTCGTGGAACAGGGCTTGCACCTGCTGCAGGTCGCCGGAGAACAGGACACTGTGGACGGCTGGGTCTCGGCAGGAGCGGCGAGGCCTGGTGAGTCGGGCCCGGGGACTTGAGGGGCGCCTGTGGCTGCGGCACCGCTGGGCAGCGGCCCGTCGCCGGTCCTCCCATTCCAGCCACTCGCGCTGCAGGCGGAGAGCGCGTAGCGTGGAGGGGGTGAAGGGGAAGCTCTCCCCTGCCATGGCGGGGGGCCCCGGGGTTGGGCAGAGGCACCCGGGCCTACCACCCTTGCTCTGAGAGCCGCCCTCCCCCCTCTCCTGTGAGTCCCAGAGAGGAGCAGCTGAAGCTATAAATAGGCCCTTTGCTGGCCTGGTAAACAGTTTGCCCAGAGTCATGATCTGGGTGCAGAGAAGGTGCTGGGCCAGCCCCTGCCCCCGCTGACATCCTTTGCCTGGTAAGCAGGCCCTCAGCAGAGGCCAGCCCTGGGCGTCACAGTTCCCATCCTCCCACTTCTCTGGAGGGAGCCCCTTGGGTCGGCGAGGTCCGAGGTGAGGGCCATGGCCTGGAGATGGGCAGGTTGGGGAGACCAGGCTTGCCCAGCCTCTGCATTGTTGGCTAAGGCCAGAAGCCCGCCTCGGCCCAGGCGGCAGGGAGGGGAGAGAGCTCAGCGTGGGAAGTTAGGGCAGTCAAGGCAGGGTTCCCGAGGCGCTGGGCAGCCCGTGGACGGGGGCAGCAGTGACAGCAGCAACCCTGCACACGCCCAGGGCTTACGGCGTTCAAGTTGCTTTCCTGCCCCTCTTCACTCGCCTTCCCACTCGTCCAGGGAAACAATGAATTTGGCTGGGACAGCAAAGGATAGGCTCAGGCTAACTCACAGCTGAACGCCTCTGAGATGAGTGGTCTTCTCTCTCTTACGGAAGGAACACTGGCTCACAGCCACACAAAGGACCAGGCTATGACACCCCCCCCCCCCATCCCTCACCCCTACTCTCCAGCCGACTCCACGGGTGGTGCACTTGGGCTTCAGCTGTGGCCACGCCAGGGCCAAGACACTTGTGAAAGGCTCCCGGGCTCTCCAGGCAGGACAGCATGGCCTCTGGGAACTGCCTTCAGTGATTCTTGATTTTTTGGGGGGTACCCAGCTCCTAAGGGGGCTTGCACGCCTGCCTGTCTGTGGAGGGCCAAGGGGTTCTCCTTGAAACTCTGACGCTCAGGCCACCAATCCATTCTCCCCTAGGAGGAAGCAGCTCTGCTCCCAGGAGCCTCTAGGGGGAGGAGTGAGGCCGTGAAACCGCAATGCTGGTGGGACTGCCACGCTGGGAAGCGGAGGGCCAGAGGGCGAAGCTCTCCTAACCTGAGCCGGCTCAGTGTGCCGGTGGCTGCAGGCCCTGCCCACCTGGCTCCTCTCCTCGCTCACAGCCCACGGCTCAGCTCCCACTTCTTCACCGCCTGGTCCTCGCACACAAACAGGCGCTGGCTTCTGTCTCACATCCTCGGCTATCTTAAATGCAGGCCTTCGGCGCCTTAGGCCCCGCTCAGCTCGGCCTCCTGCCTGGTGCTCCTGCCTCTGGCCACACCCGCCTCTTCCGTGCTCACCTAAACCAGTTAATTTCCTTGCTGAAAAACTGCTGCTGCTGGGACTGGCTCCCTGCTGGTGGGCCTGGGAAGGCAGCCCCTGCCACACACGTGGGAGACCAGGAAGGAGTCCAGGCTCCCGGCTTCACCCTGGCTGTTGCGGCCCTTTGGAGAGTGAACCAGCAGGTGGAAGATCATTCTCTGTTTCTCCCTTTCTCTCTCTCATTCTGCCTTTCAAATAAAAAAAAAATACATCCTGATAAAAAGAAAAAGCAAAAACAACAAACTTCTGCTGCCTTGGGACCCTGCCCTCCCCAGCTGCGTAAACTCCCCGTTCGGCAGCTCAGCCATGTCACCGAGCGTTCCCTTCCCTCCTCGTGGAATTCCCTCCGGCTCTGACTCATTCCTCTAAGTCCACCTCAAAGGTCGCCTGCCCAGACGATGTCTCCATGGTAACCCCAGGTGCCCCACTCCTACAGGGCAGCCACTCCCCAGTGGGAGCCCCGGAAGGCATCGGGGCCTGTGCCGGTCCTGACGTGGTAGTTGGTTAGCAGCACCTGGCTCGTGCGGGCCGGCCTCCCGTGTGCAGTGCATGGAGCGAAGGCAGCAGCCTGAGCCTCTTCCGGTACCGCGCTCGCTGCCTGGCCAGGCTTCTCGGTGGCAGTCCAGGTGAGGGGCCCCAGCGGAGGCATGAGGTCATGCACAGCGAAGGCTGGGAGAGCCTCAGAGAAAGGTGCCTCTATAAACACAGCTGTGATTAACCCTGCTGGTGTTTTTATCGCCCGCCAACGGCCTGGCTGAGCACCCACAGCTGGGTTCCCAGGGCTGGGCGTCCAGCGAGGGCGGTGGGGGCCCCCTTCCTCCCTGAGGCACACGGTAGTCGTCACGGCCCAGCCTCCCTGCAGAGGCCTGAAGGTGCTGACTACAACATCCCGCACACACCAGTTCAGTCTCCTGCCCCTAAAGGCGGCCTCTCCCTCCAACCTGCCCACGCGCCCACTGGGAGCTCACAAGGGTTACTGCAGGGGAAGGTGCCAGGCAACAAGATGGCCACAAGAAACCGGGACCTGGAGCAGCTAGGACGGGATGGGGCTGTGCGGCGGGGAGCAGGGCTCCGCATGTCCCATGGGGACAGCAGGCTGGGGCCTGAGGTGGCTCAGGCGCAGGGAGAGCAGGTGTAGATGGGCTCTGACCCAGACCTAAGCCACAGAGGCAGAGCTGAGGAGCGAGCAGCCGCGGGGAAGAGTGTGTGGTATGCTCAGGTAAGAAGAGCAAGTGGCAGATGCCAGCATTGTGGTGTAGTAAGTTAATCCTCCGCCTGCAGTGCCGGCAACCCATAAGGGCGCCGGTTCGAGTCCTGGCTGCCCTGCTTCTGATCCAGCTCCCTGCTGAGGCCTGGGAAAGCAGCAGCAGATGGCCCGAGTGCTTTGGGCCCCTGTACCCACGTGGGAGACCTGGAAGCTCCTGGCTTCGGATCAGCCCAGGTCCGGACGCTGCAGCCATTTGGGGAGTGAACCAGTGAGTGGAAGACTCTTTCTGTGCTCCCTCTATCTGTAACTCTGCCTCTCAAGTAAATAAATAAATTTAAAAAAAAAGAGAGAGAGCAAACGAGAGCGAAGGGGCAAGGGCACTGGGAATTGGCCTCTGCTCCCCTTGGCCGAGCAGCACAGAAGCCTTTGGGAAAAGGCTTCACCATCAGCGGCCAGCTCGACACAGAGTTCTCAAAGCACTTGCCTGCTGCAGCCCGACTACGGTCCAGCCATCAAAGCAGGAGGTCACCTCCCTGAAGGAGGAGAGAACTTCCACTTTGCTCATGGCCTTGTCTAAATAAGGTTGGACTTTGTGGACTCAAGAGGCTTCCACAGCCTCGGCTGCTCGTGACAAGAGCCTCGGTGATCACTGACATCATAAATAAGTGTCAATTGTTAAATCAACAACAGGAGTCACTGTGCACCTGCTCCCCATGTAGGACCTTTGTCCTTAATGTGTTGTACTATGAGAATTAACGGTAAAACTAGTCTTCGAACAGTACTTTATACTTTGTGTGTCTGTGTGGGTGCAAACTGTTGAAATCTTTACTTAGTACTACTGAGTTGATTTTCCGTATATAATTAAAAATGAATCTTGGGGCTGGTGCTGTGGCACAGCAGGTTAACGCCCTGGCCTGAAGTGCCGGCATCCCATATGGGCACCGGTTCTAGACCCGGCTGCTCCTCTTCCGATCCAGCTCTCTGTTATGGCCTGGGAAAGCAGTAGAAGATGGCCCAAGTCCTTGGGCCCCTGCACCCGCATGGGAGACCCGGAAGAAGCTCTTGGCTCCTGGCTTCGGATCGGCGCAGCTCCGGCCGTTGCGGCCATCTGGGGAGTGAACCATTGGATGGAAGACTTCTCTCTCTCTGCCTCTCCTCTCTCTGTGTAACTCTTTCAAAAAAAATAAATCTTTTTTTTAAAAAATGAATCTTAATGAAGAATGGGATGGGAGAGGAAGTAGGAGATGGGATGGTTTGGGGGTGGGAGGGCTGGTGTGGGGGGAAGAACTGCTATAATCCAAAAGTTGTACTTATGAAATTTATATTTATTAAATAAAAGCTTTCTATTAAAAAAAAAGGAAAAGAAAAAAAGACTACAGTCCGTGGGCTCAGCCTCACTTCAGGGAGATTAGTGCCTCCCCCAGAGCAGTGCCAAGCCGTGCCCACCAAGTCCCCTGCCAGCCACACTGGGCTCCTTAACCCACCTCGTCACCTGTGAGCTGGAAGTTTGCCTTCCTGCCCTTCCTCTTAGAAAGGAAAGCAAGGCTGGCAACGTGGTAGATTAGGCCTTCAGCCCAGCCATGCCCCTGTCCAACTCTGGTGTGACAGGTGGAATGGAGCTGCATGGCAGCGAGATCACTGAGCACAACTGGGTGGCCACCCAGAGTGTCACTATCCCCCGAGGCCATTCTGACACAGGTGGAGAACGGGCGACGGGGAGCAGACGCACCTCCAAGAGCCCCTGCGGCCGCTCTGCCCCAGGAGCGGGAGACAACCCTTGTTCCTTAGGCACGGCCTTGCCTAGTGACTTCCTTCTGAAGAGAAGAGAAAGGGAGAAGGGAAAAGAGCCAGCTTACATGGAGAGACCCTCTCCCAGCCAGGCGACCAGGGTCAGCGTGAACCCTTGCGAAGTAAGTGGGGATGCAAATGGCGGGCACCCGACCTCTAGTCTTCTTCCAAACCCGTGATCCCAGTTTAAACAACGAGAAAGCCCTTCAACAGTTCTAACCAGACATTCTCACGGAGGGGCGGCCTGCCACTCGCCTGGCCAGCGCCGCCCGGAACTGTCCAGGTCATCACAGGAGCTGGCGTGAGACGCTGCAGCTGGCTCAGTCACGCCTGCAACCCCAGTTCAAGCCCTGGGTGCTCTGCTTCCAATCCCGCTCCCTGCTAATGCACCTGGGAAGGCAGTGGAAGAAGGCCCGAGTGCTTGGGCCCCTGCACCCATGTGAAGATGCAAACGGAGCTCCTGGCTCCTGGCTTCCGCCTGGCCCGACCCCAGCTGTTGTGGCCATTTGTGGAGTGAACCAACAGATAGAAGACCTCTCTCTCTCTCCCCCTCTCTATAGTACTGCCTTCCAAATAAATAGTTTTTTTTTTTTAATTGCTTGTACAATTAAAGTACAGTTGGGAGTCAGGATGCCTCTTTTTTTTTTTTTTTTTTTTAAGATTTATTTATTTATTTGAAAGGCGGAGTTACAAAGGCAGAGACAGAGAGAGGTCTTCTATCCTGGTTCACTCTCCAAATGGCCACAATGGCTGGAGCTGGGCTGATCTGAAGCCAGGAGCCAGGAGCCAGGAGCTTCTTCCGGGTCTCCCACACGAGTGTAGGGGCCCAAGGCACGTGTGGGAAGTGAAACTGCCAAAGCCAAGAGGAACCCAGAGGAGACACTAGGATCCTGGGTGGAAGTGGTGGAATTCCGAAACAGAAGGCCATGAGGGCAACACAGAGTAAATACGCACGAAGTGTGGCATTCAGTGGATCACCTGTCAACACCGCTTCATTAGCTGGGACAGACGTTCTACACTCACAGAGGCTATTGATATGGGAAACAGGACGTGGAGTCTACGGGAGCTCTGGCTTTGCAATCCTGTGCGTCTGAAACTGTGCGAGAACAAGCGTATAAACTAGAAAGAGGGCCAGAGCGGCTTGGCTGTGCCTTGGCCTACGCATCTGCCCGACCCCGCTCCGGCCGAGCAGCAGCAGCGGAGCAGTCAGGGCAAGGAGCAGCGAGGGGTGGGAAGGAGAGGAGGGGACAGAAGCCAGGACTGCTTTATTTCAGAACAAGGTCCACCAGCCCACGCCCCTGCCCAGCACCTGGGAGCCGTGGGCACCGGGGAGCTGAGCAGCTACAGCTCCCAGGTCGCCGCTGCTGTGCTTGGCTCCTCTCGGCTCCTCAGCCATCAGGGAGTCGGGAGTAAAGGGACAGGACCTCAGCTCCAACATCCTCTGGAGGGAAGCTGTGGCAGCAGGGTGACATGACGGTGACATACTTTCCTGGCTGGCGGAAGGAGAAGCCACGGTGCACGGGTCTTGGAGGACAGGAGGCGGAGGGTCCTGGCTGAGTCCCGGTACACCAGTGCTGAAGGAAGCCCCAGAGCAAAGGCAGTGCAGGACTGCGACAAGGGAGCTCTCGGGGTGGCGCCCAGCGTGGGAGCACCACAGGAGCCCCGGGTCTGAGGCCTCCACTCCAACGCGCTGGCCTTCCTCTCGCCCTGGGGTGTGATCGACACCCAGAGCTGGGCCCCGGAGCCGGAGCGAGGGGCCCGCTCAGGGAGGGGGTCCCGCCTGGGGGCAGTCCCAGCCGCCGGTCCCGCCGAAGAAGTCTTCAGGCAGCTCACTCAGCAGTCCATCCAGGTCATCTGCGGAGGGGGCGCAGACGGAGCAGCGTTGGTGACAACGCGAGGGCCTGTGTGACGCAGGCCCAAAGCTCCTGCTTTTCAGGAGGGCCTGGGCCTGGCCTGACTCCCACCGCCTTCCGCCCAGGTCCTCACGGATGACAAGGGCAGGGGCGTAATCGCTGGGCCATTCTGGTGAGAAAGAGGATCCCACCGAACCTCAGTGGTCCTTCTTCCGCCCAGAGGCCTGACGCCGAACCAGAAGGCTCCTGAGCCCCTGGTAGGATCCTCTCCGGGGACGGAGGGACAGAGATGGCCAGAGAAGCCAGCAGCTGTGTCAGAGCCACAGCGCGTTCCACTGGCTCTCATGCAAGAAGTGAGGGCCATCACCCCCCGCCCAGAGCCTGCGTGGGCGGAGGGAATGCAGTACGCGCCCTGACTGCGGTTCTCCGGCGCGACGCTGGCGTCCAGGCACCAGGGCTCCGCCGTCCCTGCTGCTCCTCTGTGGGCAGCAGCCGCTATCCCCACAGGCCGCTAGCTCGGTGCCTGGGAACCCTTCTGAGCGCACTCATGGCAGTCCCGTTGGAAACCCCACTCTACCTGGCAGCAGGGTTTAGAGGTCACACGACTTGCCCAGGGTGAGCACCCCCAGGCTCCTTCAGACACCAGAGCCACCGCCGCCAAGGAGAAGGGTCCCACTACGGGGCACAGGTCAGACCACTGTGCCCTGCAACCAGGGGCCTAGCGCCGGGGCCGGCGGAGCACACGAGGGCGCTGCTGCTGGAGGGAGGGGGAAGCTGGTTTGGGGAGTGAGGAGGTGACCGGTACAGGGAGGCAGAGCTGACATTCACCTCCAGGGCGATGCTACAGTACTCAGGGAGGCAGAGCTGACACAAAGTTGCCTGGCGCCAGCTCCACTGTGACTGCTCGGAGAAACACCACGTGATGTGCATGCGAGTGAACAGCGAGTGCGGGTTTCGGAAAACGGGAATTGGCTAGAATTAGTATTTGTGTCTCTATCCCTGTCCAGTCACCTCCGGCAGCTGCCTGCTGGGCAGTCTGTCCCTAGACTGGCAATGCGACACCAGCCCCAGTCCCCTGGAGCCGCTCTGCCCGCTCCGATGGGATCTGGCAGCTCACGAAGCGACAGTGCAGCACCCTGGCGTTTTACGGCGTGTAAGTACATGGGCGCTGTGGTTTGTCCATTGCTATGCTGTGAATTAGGTCAGTGTGGGACAACTGTCTATCATCTCATGAGCCTTTGGCCAGACAGGATGGAATTCCCGGGAACCAACAACTGCCGACCAGCCCCTCGACTACGTTAGCGTCACTTGAGGGACACTGCCTCTCGAGGAGACAGCTGGCCTACCCACAGGAGCTGGACTTGGGTCTCAGGTGTGTATCCTGGTGCCTCGCCCAGCCACGTGGATGCCTGACTCCTCAATACCCTTGGAGGGGGACAGGGGTGTGGCACAGCAGGTTAAGCTACTGCTTGCCATGTCAGAGTGCTGCTCTGAGTCCCTGCTGGTCTGCTTCCAACCGAGCTCCCTGCTGATTCACCTGGGAGGCACCAGATAACGGCTCAAGTGCTTGGGTCCTCGCCATGCACACGGGAGACCCAGATAGAGCTCCTGGCTCTCGGCTTTCGCATAGCCCAGCTCCAGCCATTGTAGCCATTTGTTATCTACCCTTCAAAAAAAGTAAACCTAAAAAAAGAATGTACAACAGAAACAACTATCAGGGGGAAATGTGTTAAAAGATTAAAGTGGGGGAGGGAGGATGGGGGGGGGGAGTGTCACCATATTCCTAAATCTGTTTATATTAAACTTATGTAACTTAAGTAAAATGAAATTTTTAAAAAAGTTTAAGATGGGAAAATCAGCCTCAGTGGCCAGGCCATCAGCCCTCAGTCTCACGGCGCCATACAAAGACAGGCCATCAGCTGGATGGTGTTTCCTCCTGTGGCTAACAGCGCGTGACCTGGAATAGGGGAGACCTGGAGAGCACACTTCAAGTGCTCTACGCGGCCCCTATCACACTGGGAACTATTCTGCGGCCTGCAACCTTGCTAAACAGGACACTGTACCTGTTTAGCAAAGACTCACAGGAAGAGAAACAGGCTATAGCAGGAAGAGTCTGGCCGAGCTCCTGGAAAGCAGGCAGGAGAGCCCACCGGTGGCCGGACAGACTGATGGTCTTACCTGCTTCTGGGGGATCCTCCACAGGGGACAGCCCTGCCTCGGGGGCCTGGGCTGCTCTGAGGCCTTCCCCAGGCTTTGCGGCCACATCATGCTGGGGACTGCTATGGAAGCGTCCTGGATCCTGGGGACAGAAGAACTGGTTACCAATGCCTGTGCCCTGAGACCCCTTCACATGGTACCACCTGCACCCAGACACCTCAAACAAATGGGTGCTGGCTCAGGAAAGTCATGGCAGAGGAGTGACCCAGGCCCATGCTGGAGAGGGGAGGGGGACCTGAAACGTCCACCACCCAAAACAGCAGATAATAAAAGGACAAAACCAAGCCAAAGCCAATGTTTCACGGCTGATTTCCTTTCCCAATTCCATAGGTGACTCGTCTCCTAGGGGCTCTCATCTAACTGGATCAGGGAGGAAAGAGGCCGTTCGGCAATACACTGAGGAGCTAGTGTTGGATCAGAAATGAGCTGTTAATCCCCAAGCTCGCCACGTGAGTATATGGACAGACGACGAAAACTGGCAACTCAGCTGCTAACAACCGTTAGCCCTAGGGAGTGGGAGTGGGAAAAGGTACATCACATTTTTTGCTTGTTCTATGCCATTTCAATTTATTTTAATGAGTAGAGATGATTTGAAGTTCAAAAAGAAAGAGTATATTTTGGAAGTGGGGTGCTTCTCAGAGAATGTAGAAGGGTTAAGGTGAAGTTCGAGCTCAAGGCCAAAGCTGACTAGAGGTCAAGTCTAATATTCATTCTATAGATAGAGCAACGATAGAGGAGAGAACAGGACCTGCCCAAGGTCACTGCAAATGATCAGCAGAGCTGGGACAGGACTTAGCTCTCGGGCTGGCGTTGTGGCAGAGTGGGTTAAGCTGCCACATGTGACACTGGCATCCCCTACTGGTACCAGTTCAAGTCCCTGCTGCTCCACTTCCAATTCAGCTCCCTACTAACACGCCTGGGAAAGCTGTAGACGATGGCCCAAGTGCTTGGGCTCCTGTCATCCACAGATGGAGTTCCTGGCTCCTGGCTTTGGCCTGGCCCAGCCCTGGCCATTGTGACCATTTGAGGAGTGAACTAGCAGACAGAAAAATCTCTCTGTCTCCCCTTTTCTCTCTCTGTAACTCTGCCTTTCAAATAAATAAATCTTAAAAAAACAAAAAACAAACAAAAAGACTTAGGTCTCCTAACCCCCAGGCCAGGATCCCGGGGCGGGGGGGGGGGGGGTGTGTGTGGTGGTGCATGGCCAAGTGAAGCCCGGGCTCCACACGCTGACCCTGGTTCCTAAAGGGGCATCTTCAGTGTCTGTGTGGTTCCCCCAGCCTAGCAGAGGCCGAGGCCAGGAGGGAGGACACGGAGCCAGCGCTGGCTCACCTGACAGCCCATTTCCTGCCTGTCACCTGGAGCAGATCTGACCCTCGTCAATTACTGTCCCCACCCCTGTAAACCCTTGGTTCTCAGGTGACTCCTGTCCTCGCAGATGTTCAAGCCTGCCACCAGACACTCGGGGATCACCCCGGAGCCAGCTGCTCCCGCAGGTACTGTTACGGAGCCGGCTGGCAGGCGGCAGCCCGGCACAGGAGGAGATGGTTCCGCTTGCCTAAGGCAGCTGCCCCCTTCTCCCCAACGTGGAGGAGTGGATGCACGGAGCGGAGCCCGCGGGAGGAAGAGCGCTCCACCAGGCCCCTTCCCTCCTGCTCCTCTTACCTCGGGGAGGGGCCGAGAGGGTGTGAACAGGCTTCCGTCCCCAGAGTCTGCGCTGTAGATATGGACCAGGTTGTTGGGCGTCACGTTGAGGTAGTGATTTCGGAGCGAAGGAGAAAACACTCCGATCTGGAGCCAAGGAAGGGGAAGGTCAATGCCGTGACGGGGCCCTGGTGCTGCTGGATGGCTGCCTTTCACCTCCTCTCCCTGGGTGTCCCCTGCACCGGAGCCACACAAATCGCTCCTGCCTCAGCCTTGGTGCCAGGGCAGAACCACTCAGCACACTTCCCCTCAGCACCCCCTCCATTCCCATCCACCCCCCGCCCCCAAGAATGGGCATCAACTCAAGGCCATGGCCGTCACGCAGGGCCTGGCAGCAGCTCAGCCTGGGTGTTGGGAGGGGAGCAGCCAGCCAAGCAAGGAGACAGACGCCGGGGGCTCCCTCTAGGGAGGTGGTGGAGAGCAGACCCCCACGGGAGCTCCTGTACCTGCTGTAGCAGCAGCACCGAGCCAGGCTTCAGCTCACTCTGGCGTGTCTCCAGCAGCACCCTGTGCACCGTCCCCTGCATCTCTCCTGAAAATACCACATGGCTCATCAGCCGAGGGTCAAGGGCAAGGCAGCAACTGGCTTGGGCCCTGGCTGGGAAGTGGGCTGCTCACTGCCTCCATTTCCCCATCTGCAAATGGAGAGAGTGGTTTTTCCTCACCCCCTGACCCCCACAGAGGCCACTCGCCCCACACTCCCGGGCCCTGACTCTTTACCTGTGGGGTCCTTGAAGACCACACTGGCGTCCATCGTGCGCCGAGTCAGGGACTTGATCATCACCGCCATGTTGGGCACCTTGTTCCTGGGGAGCTGCTTCAGGGCTGCCTGTTCACAAGGAGAGGTTTAGCAGCCCCTTGGCCGCCATGGCCCACCTGCAACTTCCCAGGGCAACCACAGGAGGAAGGGGGCAAAGCACAGGCATGGTGAGGAGCTTCCTCTGTGGGGGCCGGGACCCTTTGAAGTGTGCGCCCGCCTCCTCCCGGCAGGCCTGTCGGTTCTCTCCCCTGCCTCCTTTCATCTGAGTGGCTGTGTGTGTGTGGTGCTCTGTGGTGGAGGGATATATTGGCATGTAGCTGTGGACTGCTGTGGGGCTGGGAGGGTAGCAGCGTGCCTAACCGCCCCATCCCCCACTTAGGGCCTGGAAGTGCAGAGGTATATCCATACCCCCCAAGAGGTGTGCAGAGGCATATCTGTACCCCCACAAGGGGTATGCAGAGGCATATCCGTACCACCCTCCGGGCCCACGCTGGGGACGACAGAGAAAAGACAGGTGAGTGGAAGCTGCCACCCGAGGGCGTCACACTGCCACTAGGACAGGCCTGGGGTGGAAGGGGGCGAGCGGGCCCAGGGAAGGCAGAGCAGGGCAGGAGGCTGGACCCGTACCTTGCGCAGCACCATGACAATACTGTAGGAGCAGAGGAAGCAGGTGGGGTCTCTCTCATCCAGGCCCAGAGCAGATTTCATGGCCAGCCAAGGCCCTCGCTCAAAATCCTCCTCTACTGAGGCCTGGGAACCAGCGACAATCTGGTAGCACAGAGCAGACCTGCGTTAACGGGTCTGACCCCTGACGGAGACAGGATGGTGGGTGGGAGAAGGGTGGGTCCCTGAGAAAAATGGCAGCGTGGCAGCCATAGTGTCTCCTCTCATTACTTCCAAGGTCAGCAGATGGCCTAGGAAACCTGGCTGCACATCACATCTTTCACTAAGCAGCTGTGGCGAGGGTGCTCTTTCCTTTGTAATCAGGTCCTGCCCTTACAACCACACGGAAGCCCCAGGGCAGCCGCACTTGTCTCTTGCAATGAACGATCAAGTCTCGGGCAGGGAGCCCTCACCCTCATTCGCAGGCTTCCGCAGCGTCTAACCCGTTTCATCTCCAGTCCAGTCCTGTTTTACCTGGAAAGCCTCTGGCTTTAACCATCGACCTTCTTATTAAAATAAATATTTTGAATCCAATCAGTATTGACTACTTTGGATCTGAAATGACCTGGTAGGTCTTGGGAGCTGCAGTCAATGGAAAAAAAATATTCAAGAGAATTAAATGTACAAGCAGGTCTGAGGGCAGAGCAGGTCCACCAGAACCCTGGGGAGGAGGGAGGCTGGCGTCACCCAGCAGAGGGGAACCCACAGGACGCAGGGTGAAGGCGGCTCCCTCCAGGCTCGGTTCCCAGACACCTGAGAGGAAGAGCCCCCAAGACACAATCTCACAATACTCAGTACATGAGCCTCGCCCTGGGCAGCTGGCCCTAGCTGGGCCTGTATCTTCTGAGATGGGCGAGAAGGCTGGGCCCATGGCTTCAGTTAATGTCTGCCTGTCATCGGGACAGGCCTCCCCGTACGCCAGTGAAACTGCTGCCTCCGCACACGCCCTCCACAGTGTGACACCAGGAACAGGCCTAGCTGTACCAACTCTGACCCCCGAACCCTGAAGCCGCAGGGACACCCCACACTCTCCGCCGACACCCAGGGAGTTAACCTTTGCATGGAAGTAGCTACCTCTGTCCGGAACTTAGCCAGCGCGCCGTGAGCTGGAGTCTGGGGCGTGGAAACCATGATCTCCTCCAGGTTCCTCCCACTGTGCTAAGGGAGAGGAGAAGGCGAGAACAGCTCAGCAGCTGTTATTTACAAGTACAGCTTCTTGTGTGCCTTACGTAATGAGTCCAGGAAACTATCAGGGACAATTAGCACATATTACACCTCCCCTAACGGAGTCTCAGGAGCCCTGGTGGCAGCTCAAAAAAGACACTTTGGGGATCGTTTTGGGAGTGAGAGGGAGCAAAAACCCAGGGCTGCCTGAGGCGGGCGGCGACCTCAATGGCGAGGCCTGGGATGAGCAGAGGGCAGCTCTAAGTCCTTTCTCCGGGACCCAGCCTTCCCCGCTCGGAGATCAGCCCAGCAAGAACAGAGAAGGCCTCCCTGGTCTTCCCTTAAAGCACCAGGCAGAAGCAAGAGTAGCAGGCAGAAACTGTTCAAACACCCTGAAAGTGAGAGCAAGGGGCTGTACCCAGCACGCCAGCCAGATCTTCAGAGCCCGTCACCCAGGATCCGATCCAGGAAGAGTTTGCTGGGTCCTGCCCCTCCGCCACTACAGAAATCCAGACTCTCCTTCCCAGCCCCAGCCTCCCTCCGTCAGCCCCACAGAGCAGCCACAGTGAACTGCTCGGTGGCTCTCCGAGAGCCCCTCGCTCTGAAGTCTCTGCCTTGTCCACTGTGGGTTCATCCTCAGAGCAAGCCCAGGGCGGAGCCAGTGTCTGCCCAGGGCCCAGGGAGTGACCCGAACCACACGGGCTCTCTGCCCGATGCTTCGTTCACGTTCCCTCTGCTGCGCCGTAAGGTCCTGAGGACATTCCCCTTTCACTCTTCGTACTCTCAACTCCAAGCAAATTATCCGACACAGACAAGTCCTCGGTAAATCAAGTAAGAGGGAAAGGACCGTCCTGCCCTCGTGCTGGCCAGGAGCAGGTGCTCACCAAGGCAGCAACACGAGCAGGGCCTCAGCCTTCGTCCCAGGTGCGGCTTCTCCCCCCTCCCCCGCTGCCGTGACTTCTGCAGCGTGGCCAACCGGCCCTTCTCTTGCTTTCTTCCCGCCTGCCCTCTAGGACGTCCTAGCCTGCACAGGCCTGGTCCTCTGCTTCTCCCCCTCACCCTGACGTCCTGGAGAAGCGGGTCACTCACCTGATGAGGCAGCAGCCCCGCTGGGCCGGGGAAGCGGCGTGTTTTGGCTCCAGGGGCGCGATGGCCCGGCAGCTGGGGTGTCCGGCTGGCGGCGGTGACCAGCTGCACCAGGTGGTTGGTGACCACAGGCGTCTGCAGAGCTGCCTGGGGAACCAGCGAGGGGCGGGGAGCTCTTGGGATGCCCACAGGAGACTCAACAGAACACCCTGGAGCTCGCGGCCGCAAGGGGCTTTGAGGAAGTATCCTAGGGCCAGTCGCTGAGCGAGCAGAACAGCTGGAGCTGGGAGTTCGGGGTCCAGGAAAACGAGGCCGGCCACCTGCCCAGGCCCCTGGGGACTGAACTGACTGACAGCGGAGACCCTCTCGAGGGCTGCCCTGCACGGCTCCTCCAGCAGCCAGGGGAGGCCGGGATACTGCAGGGCAGACTTCCCGGGGGTGTTGCCGAGTGGGAACCGCTGAGGCAGGTGGGACAGGAAGGCTGCCGGAGGCACCAGGCCGCAGGCAGGGCCGCGGAGTCCTGCAGTGGACAACAGGGCCCAGAGGCTCATTCTGGGCCAACAGGACACCCGCTGCACAGGTGTCCGGCACCGGCCCCTTCTGGCCAGAGCCACTCACATCAGCTACCCGGGCCTTTTTAGCCAATACTGAGTCCTCCCACGGCTGGGCAGGCAGGGTTCGTGCGGCCTCACGGCTCACTCCATGTTCCAGCTCCGTGCCAGGGCCCTCCAGCTCCATGCTCGCCAGGACCTTATCGAAGTCATCATCATGTTCACACCCCTCGAAGCCAGCCAGGCCCTGCTGCGGGCTCTTGAAGGCGAACAGGGGACGTGGGGCTGAGGCCTGGGGCCTCGCTGGCTCTGGGAACGTTTCTGTCCGCGTCACTCCTCTCGGATCACCAGTCAGGCTGCTGGAAGTCGAGGCGGGCCTTAGCAGAGCTGTCCCTGCAGAAGCTGGCCCTCTGGCAGCTCTGAGCGTACTGGAGGCAGCAAGGCGGAGTCCCAGGGCCGGCAGGCCTGAGGCCTCTGACGGCGCAGCAGGGTGCTGTGGCAGCGGCCTAGAGGACTGGGGCTGCACAGCCTCCTGTGGCCTGGGAGAGACAGGTCTCAGGTGACCAGCGGTCACAGGCAGTGAGCCAGTGAACTGGCTCTCTGCATCCTCCACCGCCGACAGGAAATCCTACAAACAAGCAGAGACAGTGGGTCTTGGGAATCAGGAGGCTCGGCTGTGACGGTCCACCCGGGAGGTGCGTGTGTGCGTGTGCAGACAGGTGAGCCGGACGGCACAGCGCGAAGGCGGTGGTGGCGGCCATGCTGCGTCCATCAGAACCATGCGAAGGCTAAGTCCCCGAGTAGCTTCCCTCTCTTCCTTCAGTCTCTGGGACAAGAGGGAGTGGGGACAGGGGACACCAAGGAACCAAAGCAATCACATATAAGGTCAAACACCCAGCTCAAGGAAGTCCCCTCTGGGGTCTGGCCCGCGCGGTAGGCACCTATCCAGCTACTCCCCACCCCCAACATACACACAGCATGCAGGAGAGGCCCTGGAGCCAGCAAATAGGCAGAAGTTAAATATAGCTTTTCAGGCAAGTTAAATTAAGTATGGATTCCAGCTGGGAAGCAAGGTGAGACTGACACCTTCGAGAGCAGCAGGCCTGTGCCGAGGGAGTTTTTAAGTCAGAACTGCTGACTTATCCGACAGGAAGGTCCCCATCCCCCCAGCCCAGCCCCTGCTGCCGCACTGGCTTGTTGGGCTGGGAAAGGTGTGTTCCTGCTTTGTGTTTATCAAGGGAGTCCCACATTTGGCGGGACCACCTTGGGATTAACACAAAGAATGATCAGAATCGCAGCAGCAACACTGTCCTGATGGCCCTGGTGATGGACGGATTCCTCCTCTCCCAGAGCGCACTGTCAGATGTGACGTCATCCGCCTCGGGAAGCGGGAAAGGGGCTGGCCTGCTATTTTCAGGAACAGAAACTTGAGCTGTCAGAGTTCTTCACTCTAGTTCCATTACTAGCCGAGCGGTCCTGCCTTTAACAGTCCCTTCCCGGCCTGTAACCACAAATCTCCAAAGGCAAAGACAAAGACAAGGACACATCTGCTTGACATAGCTGGCAATTCTGAACAATCAGTGAAAACAAAAATCAAGGGGCGGGCGCTGTGGCATAGCGGGTAAAGCCGCCGCCTGCAGTATCGGCATCCCATATGGGCACCGGCTGGAGCCCTGGCTGCTCCTCTTCCAATCCAGCTCTCTGCTCTGGCCTGGGAAAGCAGTGGAAGATGGCCCAAGTCCTTGGGCCGCTGCACCTGCGTGGGAGACTTGGAAAAAGCTCCTGGCTTTGGATTGGCACAGCTCTGACAGCTGTGGCCATCTAGGGAGTGAACCAGAGGATGGAAGACCTCTCTCTCTCTTTCTCTGCCTCTCTGTAACTCTGCTTTTCAAATAAATAAAAACAAAGGGAAGAAAGAGTGGGGCTTGGGGCTGCCAAAATTCAGACCAGCTGAACAAAGTCTAAATGAAATATTTTAGGCAAAGTACTGGGACACAAAATGTAGCGTTTGAATAGCTTGTCATTGGTAAAACAGAATAGTTGTCTACCAATGCAGCTTGGTAGTTTCCATGTGTGTCATGCTGGAATCAGAGGGTCAAGGCCTCATCCTGCCTGTCGGGGCTCCATTCTCAGGCCAGCTAATTCACCTCCGTGGGTTTCACTCCCTTAAATCTTCCCTCTGGCCAAAAAGGATTTGAGGTGGCAGTTTCCAGTCTCGTGGATGAAGCTATGTGCATTGGTTCTGCATTTTCTCCTTCACTTATTATCTGAAAGGCCCAGAGACAGAGACAGACCAAGAAATCTTCCATCTGCTGGTTTACTCTCCAAATGCCCACAACAGCCAGGGCTGGGCCAGCCAGAAGGCAGGAGCCAGGAACTCAACTCAGGTCTCCCACCTGGGTAGCAGGGACCCACGTACTTGGGCCACCACCTGCTGCCTCCCAGGGTACACATTAGCAGGAAGCTGGATCTGAAGTGGAGCAGGGACTTGAACTCAGGCACTCCAGGGTGGGATGTGGGTGGCCCAAGCAGTGTCCTAACCACTGTGCCACATGTCCACCCAGCCCATTGGTTCTAAATAGGAAGAGTGCTATGGAGACTGCTGGTCAGTGTTCTCTGGCCAAATAAAAATATCTCTATGTGAGGCCTCGCCAGAAATTCTGATTTAATTGGCGAGTGGTGGGGCCTAGACTAGGGTAATTCTCTCTTTTTTAAAAAAAAAATATTCATTTATTTGAAAGGCAGAGTTACAGAGAGGCAGAAGCAGACAGTGAGAAAGAGAAAGTCTTCCATCCGCTGGTTCACTCCCCAGATGGCTGCAACGGCCTGAGCTGCGCTGATCCGAAGCCAGGAGCCAGGAGCTTCTTCCAGGTCTCCCACGTGGGTGCAGGGGCCCAAGGACTTGGGCTATCTTCTGCTTTCCCAGGCCAGAGCAGAGAGCTGGATCAGAAGTGGAGCAGCTGGGACTCAAACCAGCGCCCATATGGGATGCTGGCACCGCAGGCGACAGCTTTACCTGCTGTGCCACAGTGCCGGCCCCAGAGGTGATTCTAATGTGCCAGTCTCACCCCTCATCTCCTGAGCAGAGGGAAGAGAAAAGCATGCCTCACTGTGTCAGAGAAAACCGAAGGCCAAAGAATAAAGTAACCTGCCCTGGACCACAGGGCCAGCTGGCAACTGCCGGCCTCCCGCCACGCAGTAACGTGCTGTCACTCATGTGTCCTTCCACCTCGTTGGTCATCACGAAGGTGATTCGATCATCTACCGACACAGCCTCCAGGAAAGGGCCCTCGTCACTGGAAGATGCGGCGACTGGGCAACTCAGCTCAGCTCGCTGGATTTTTGTTTGTGTCCACAGCAGGCAGGTAGGTAGTTCACCTCTGTCAGCCTTCCCTGGCCTCTCAGATACAAGGCACACATCTCAACTACCAGGCAGCTGGGACAGGCTGCGCCGTGTTCCCGACCTTTTTAGCTTGTTCATAATTTCTGTTTTAGGGGTGTTTACGTCAGACCTCTGCCACCTCTGCTCGCCAATACCTCCTTACCTCATCTTCAAACTCCTCTTCCACAGCAAACAGCTTCTGCAAGCTGCAAGCCTGGAAGGGAAACAAAGCAACTGAGGCAGGAGAAACACTGCTTGCAAGTACACGCCGTCCCCTCCGCCTAGCAAGGCCGGCAGGTGCGCTGCTAGCGCTGGGGGAGGAGTACGGGATGAGGAGAAGAAACGCAATTTAGGGAAAGAGTTAAGTGACTTAAAATACTGTCTTGCAAAATAACACATTCAGATCCACCTATGCCAGGCCTGGAAGAGGGGAAGGGAAGCTGCCAAGGAGCAGGGGCACTTCTCCCAGATCAGCGCCGGCCCCGGGGGCTGGAGGCTTTTGTCAAACACGGAAGGAAGCTCCCCCAACCCAAGCAAGCCCTGCACCCTGGCCCTGTTTCCGAAAGAGCCAGCCAACGGCCTCCTGCAGCCTAATCCAACCAAAAGCTGGGGGCTCTCGCCAGCCCGGCCCCTCCAGTCCACAGACTCTCAGCCGGTTCCACCTGGGTGCCCGACCCGGGTGCGAGATCCCTCCCCCAAGATCTTGTCTGAGGGTCAAGGCGGATGTAGGGTAGGGCCAGGGAGAGGGCAGGGAGGGTCAAGGGGCGGTGACGTTTGGGTGCGCTGAGAACGATGACCAGCAGGGGAACTCGGGACCAGGTGTGTGCGGTCGGGGGCTCGGGCGCGGCCGGGCAGACCCCTGACTAGAGCCCAGGGCTCCCGACCGCACCGAGCTCCTCCCAGGCCCGGGCCCGGCGGCTGTTGCGGGCGATGGCCCGGCACCGCCACGTTCGTCCCCGTGCCCCCGGGAGCAGGCAGCCCAGAGACCCCTCATTACCATGGCGACAGCGGGTGGGCTCCAGGCGGCGGGTTGACGCCGCGGACCCACACTCCGGGGGTCGTCAGGCCCTCAGGTTTGTCCCAGGTGGACGGGTCGGGTGCCGGTGCTCCAGGGACGGAGTGGGAGGGAGACGCCCCCGTGCCCCGAGTGGGGCTCAGCGAGGGTCGCCAGGAAGCTGGTGGCCGACGCCCCAGGCCGCATTCGAAGGCGCCGCCACACCAGTGACTCCGCCTTCTTAAAGGGGAGACCTGTTTCTATCCTGCCGACGCAAAAGCCTTCGCCCTCCCGCCTTCCGCTCTGGCCTTAAAGGGGAACTGGATGTGCTCTCGGTCGCCCCCCAGCGGCACCTCGGACCCAGCCGACGAGTTCCCCACGCGTCCAGGTGGGAGAGCAAGGTTGGGGGCGCAAGATGCCCTGGCCAGCCACGACCGGCCCCCTGCTTCTGTGTTGAGCACACCAGGAGCTGGGTGCTGGAGCGTGACTTCATTCACACCAAAACCCACCGGTCGGTTTGTCGCCCGTCTCTCTGCTCCTGTAAGACACTTTTATCCTGAAAAAACGTTTTTGGTCTGGCTGCATTTGTTTTGGGTTTTGCTTAGATCTCAAATCTTCCCTGTTACCTTCTCCCTCGCCCATCACCACATTCTGTCTTTTTCTCGGTGCCTTTTGGAATTTACGCTTGTCATGGTCTCCGGGTTTGCTTTGTGTCTTCTGCATCAGCGGGGACCTTGTCTGGCTTGTCCCACACCTAGCGGTGCTAGTGGTAGTGGTCCTCAGTTCTACCTCAGTTTCCCTTCCTGCTTGTCACTGGGGCAGCATCTAGAGCTGCAGAGCCTCGGAGACAAGCAGGAGGAAGGCAGCTGACTCGGGTGTTTTTATTTATTTATTTACTGAGTTATCTGTGTGAAAGGCAGAGCCACAGAGAGAGAGAGAGCCAGAGACAGAGCTCTTCCATCTCCTGGTTCACTCTCCGAGATGGGCTGGGCCAGACCAAAGCCAGGACCACCCTGGTCTCCCGCAGGGGTGGCGGGGACCCAAGTACTTGAGCTGTCATCCACTGCCTGCCCACCAAGAGCCTCAGCAGGGAGCTGGATGGAAGGTGCAGCAGCCGGACTTTAAACCAGCGCTCCAGTGTGGGACGCCAGTGCTGAAGGCGGGCCTCGGCCCCTGTGCCACAACGATGGCCCCAGGGACTTGGGATTTCTGGGGTGTGTGTATATGTGTTTAAGATTTACTTATTTATTTGAAAGGCAAAATTGCAGGGAGAAACGGAGAGAGAGAGAGAGAAAGGAGAGAACGTGACCTTCCGTCAGCTGGTTCATTCCCCCCAGATAGCTGCAACGGCCAGGCCTGGGCCAAGCCAAAGCCAGGAGCTTCGGCCAGGTCTGCCACATGGGTGCAGGGGCTCAAGCACTTGGGCCTTCTGCTGCTGCTCTCCCAGGCCGTAGCAGAGAGCTGGATCGGAAGTGGGGCAGCCAGGAATCAACCAGCACCCACATGGGATGCCCGCACTGCAGGCAGTGGCGGCTTAACCCACTCCACCACAGCACCATCCCGTGACTTGGGTTCTTTGTTTATTTGAGAGTCAGAATTGGGATTTAGTCCAAGATGGTGGAGTAGGGAGGGAGCTTACTGCTCTAGTCCAGGAGAAGATTATTTTAAAAAGTGGAGAGAGTGTAGTCTCAGGGAAGAGTTAGGGAGAAAACAGCAGAGGAAACTGCCGAAATCGGAGGGACACGACAGACCTACATGCAGGGGGTGGCGCCCACAACTCAAGGCGCCAGCAGCCGAGAGCCCATGTGCCAGTGTTGGAAAGTGAGGTCCTTTTCCAACTCTCCCAGGAATATTTTGACATTTTTCACTGTAAAGATCTTCCACGTTGTATTAGTTTTCTAGGACTGCTGTCACAAATTACCACAACTGCGATGGCGCAAAACCACTGAAACTTATTCTCACAGTAAAGGAAGCTAAAGTCTGAAAGTAAAACAACAACAACAAAAAAAGACAGTCCTAATTACAGAGAGAAAGTGAGAGACAGAGAGAGAAGCCTTCCATCCACTGATGACCACAATGACCAGGGCTGGCCCCTCTGGGTCTCCCATTTGGGTCATCTTCCACTCCTCTCCCAGGCGCATCAGCAGGGAGCTGGGTTGGAAGTGGGATGCAGGCCCTGCAGATGGGATGCAGGCAGCTTAACTTGCTTCGTCACAGCACCGGCCCTGTGGCTTTGGGTTCTTAATGATCGAATCTGAGCCAGCCCTGACTCTTACCCAGGGTGGCCTAGCCCCTGGCCTGGCTTTGGATCAGGACAGCCTGTGGCTTCCAGCAGAGCTGCACGTGGACTAGACAATGGAGGCTGCCATGGTGATGAGAGAAGGAACCCAGATCACGAACTCTCACCCAAGGTATGGAGTCCCTCGGGCCGGCTTCTGAGCGAGGGAGACAAACCTCCAACCCTGTGGACAGGGAGCACAGGTGCAGCTCCTCCTGGAGACCCGGATACAGGAGTTCCCTGAGCCCTGAGTGAGGTCAGTTCCAGCTGAAGGAAGATCACAGAGCTCATCTGTTAGGAAAATGGCGCAGTCTTATCTATGTGCAATCTACACCCTGACACCATCCCAGGCGCTAGGGCCCCCCCCCCCCCCCCCCGCCATCGCCCAACCACTGGTGTCAGCCCCACCCCCATCTTAATGGGATTCACTGCTCCTACTTCCCTGCCAGCTCCCTGGCAAAGTTTTTTTTTTTTTTTTTTTTTTTTTGACAGGCAGAGTTAGACAGTGAGAGAGAGAGAGAAACAGAGAGAAAGGTCTTCCTTCTGTTGGTTCACACCCCAAGTGGCCGCTATGGCCGGCGCACTGCGCCGGGATCCGAAGCCAGGAGCCAGGTGCTTCCTCCTGGTCTCCCATGTGGGTGCAGGGCCCAAGCACTTGGGCCATCCTCCACTGCTTTCCCAGGCCATGGTTTAACCATTTGTGCAGTTGTTCCGCATAAAGACCCCACAAAGGGTGGGGTGGCGGTGATATTTTTGCAGAGTAGGAAACAGGCCCAGAGGGTGGCGCGTCTTCAGCTTGGAAATCCCATACTTTCTCCTCCAGCGCCTTTCTCCTAAGTTAGATGAACTTGGCATTGGCTTTCCCCACCTGCTGTCCCTACCCCCTGTTAGAACCTGAATGGAGTTGGGGCGGCTGGAGCGAATGAAGCGTGCAGAGCTGCAATTGCAGAGAGAGGCTGGCAGGAGGCAGGGAGGTTCCGTGGTTGCAGAGCTGGGAAGGACCCCCATGCTCAAGGGTCTCCCCAAATCAGATGTCTTCTCCATCCTAGCACTGCCAGCTAGAGGGAAAGGAAAAGACTGGGGCTCCCTGGTGGTGGGGCCCATCTCCCTTCTCTTAGTAAAAGGGTTAGCACACTCCGTTCTGTGCAACCAGGTTTGGAAATGGACACTCAGATGGAAAATGAAGGGAGGGGGACTGGTGTTGTGGTGCAGCCACTTGTGATGCCACAGCCCATATCTGAGTGCCATTCCAGTCCCGGCTGCTCCACTTCCTGTCCAGCTCCCTGCTAATGCACCTGGGAAGAGAGCAGAGGATGGCCCAAGTGCTTGGGCCCCTGCACCCGTATGGGAGACCCAGATGAAGTTCCTGGCTCCTGGCTTCAGCCCCAGGCCAGATCTGGCTGTTGTGGCCATTCGCAGAGTGAACCAGCAGTTAGAAGATCTCTGTGTGTGTGTGTCTTTGCCCTTGTCTATCTTCATTGCTCTTTCAAATAAGTTTTTAAAAAATAATTTTAAAATAAGGGAGTGAGGGAGGGAGCGGTCTCAGTCGCACTCTGGTTTAAGCCATAATAACACGGGCCAGTACTTGCTTAGCGCTGTCTGCCTGCCAGACACGGTGCCAGGGCCAGGGCTGCTGTCCTGCCCAAGCTCCCAGAGCTCCTGGGCGGCGGGGCCGGGACTGTGAACCAGGCAGTCTGACTTCAGCATCTGCGGCCTTAACTACCACGTTGTTTCGCTTCTCAGGATTCCAGGGACCCGAGTTCTTAATCTGGGGCTTCAGGGAATTGGAGTCCCCTGTAATTACGTGCAAAACACCACGTGCCTGTGCATGCGCTTCGTTCTGAGGCAGAATCCGTGAGCTCCGTGCCACTGTCACCGTCTGTCCCTCTGCTCTGTCTTGGGGACCAGCTCCAGCCTGCCCCTCCGCACCCCGCGCCACCCTCATCTCTGGGTGCCTTACACTCCTGGGCAGACCTCACCAGCTCCTGCTGGGACTGGTGCAGTAGCCTCCTGCGTGGTCTCCCCAGCCCAAGCGCTCCTTCCTTCTCCTCATTCTTCTGACATGCAAACGGGGTCCTGGTTTCCTTTCTTTATTTTTTAAAGATTTATTTATGTATTTGAAAGTCAGAATTACACAGGAAGAAGGAGAGGCAGAGAGAGAGAGAGAGAGAGAGAGAGAGAGAGAGAGGTCTTTCATCCGATGGTTCACTCCCCAAATGGCTGCAACAGCTGGAGCTGCACCACTCCGAGGCCAGGAGCCAGGAGCTTCTTCTGGGTCTCCCATGCAGGCGCAGGGGCCCAACCACTTGGGCCATCTTCCACTGCTTTCCCAGGCCATAGCAGGGAGCTGGATTGGAAGTGGAGCAGCTGGGACTTGAACCAGCGTCCATATGGGATGCCAGCACTGCAGGTAGTGGCTTTACCCGCTACGCCACAGTGCCGGCCCGCCTAGTTTTCCACTGTAAAAATTCCTCAGAGCCTCTCCAGTCCCTGGCGGACGACATGTGAGTCCTCAGGGCCCTCAGTGTCTGCCTCTGCCTCTGGCCTTCTCTTGTCTCTCAGTCAACACCAGTCCTTCTCTACTCACTCATTCTTCAAGTCCCAACTCACTTGCTGCCTCCTCCAAGGAGCCCTCCTAACTGCCCCAGGCAGACGCAGGTTTCCTTCCACTTGCCTGTGAGGCCCGCCTCCATGACAGCTCCGCTGTATGCCCTATATTTTCTCCAGGTGCACCTCACATCTCCCTGCTGAACCCTGAACTTCCTCCAGTCAAGTCTGTGGCTTTCTACCTTTGTGAACCACAGCGTGGCCCACTGAGGAGTCAGCAAGGGTTTGTTGCATGACTTAATGCCGTGTATCAGAAGGGAGTGTGAATGAGTCTGGGCGACTCCATGCTCACCTCCACAAATACTTCCAGTTGCCAGGTGAGAAGGCTTAGCCTCTTAGGGACAAAGGAGAGCACACAGGGATTG